AAAATAAATAAATAAATAAATAAATCACGCAGCAGTCAGACCCCACATCCACGTCCCGCCATCTAGCGGATCTTTCATACGCGAAAACCCTCATTCCAATATAGCGGACAATATTGCCAGAATATCTCGCTCAGCCACATTATTTCTCAAGAGCTTCATCACCTTGTTCTCCCACTCGAACTCGGCCCACATCTGGCGGAAGTCGGCGTCGCTGCAGGCGCAGGGCTGGATGTAGTCCACGATGTCGATGTGGATGTCGTTCAGCACCACCACGCCGCGGTCCATCGACGCGCCCGACACTTCGTACACTGCGGACCAATTCACCCTTATAAACATGCACAGTGAATGCAATGCTCAGTATTTTAAACCTTATTGGCTAGTCTTAAGGTTCAAAAATTATAGTTTAAACTTTTTCTCATCACTGATTAAAAAAACCTCCGCTAAAGATTTCCATAACGACCTGCACTGCCCGAATCCAGATACCTCCCGCGACCTTCACCAGTAGGTCCATCTAGTGAAAGGCCTGCTACGGACTTGTGTTTAATTAAAAATCTAAAGACGATCTGATCTCACGTAAGAGATTAGGGCTGAGCCCCATCTAACTTTGACCGTTACTATAACGGTAACCGGTATTTTTTGTATGGGTTTTGTCAAATTTTGACGTTTGTCAAAGTTAAAGTAAGATGGTGGAACCCATCCTTAGAGACGTTTTGATTTTAAATCTGTGAATAGGATAGAACAGACAAATGAGACCACAAAGCCGAGCTGTAGGTAATTTCGAGCATTATAGCTAGTGATGCAACGAATACGAATAAGAATATTCGTATTCGCCGAATAGTAGACATTTACCGAATATTCGTATTCGGTGAAATAATAATAACGAATACGAATACCTACTTTTTTTAAATTTTGTCACACACGTGTGTGTCTCCGAACACTATAAGCCACAACGACATGACGGGACACCCCCTGTCAGTATGTAACAAAGTAGTGAGCAAGTTCTCTTCCGGAATTTGACAGTCAATAGCAGGTCGATTGTACAAGTATTATTTTGTTTTGTGATTAGTTACAAAGTAAAGTGATACAATTCATACAATACCAAAAAAAATTCCATTTGTAACTTTTAATTACTAAAACATTAACCATGATAAAAAGAGTTAAATTTATGAGTGTTTCATGACTATGTAGAGATATTCGTATTCGTAAAAGTGTATTCGTTGCATCACTAATAGACAGTTTGACACCATACGCCAATAATTCGAAACCACAACTGTTATAAAAAGACTCTTCATTATGCTCTTAAAAACCTAATTTATTTGAAATTACCTGTAAATTTCGATTTTTGTTCGAATTGTAATTGAAAAAAGTAGTTTAATTGGGTTGACAAAATAGTGACGTCACTTGCTTGTAGAGCCATACAAAATCTATGGGAGAGTTTCGTTTTGACAGTTTTAAAAAGTACGTCAATTGACTGTGGTGTCAACATGTCTATTATAGTTATAGCGCACTGACCGATGTTGCCGAAGATGATGCCATTCTCGGTGGAGGCGACCTTGACGTGCGCCTTGATGGTGGCGAAGTCGCGCGGCGCCAGCACCACCGCCGCCGGCCGCTCCACCAGCCGCAGGTCGCCCAGCGTGGCCAGCTCCACTGTACAGTTCTGGAGAGTATCGTCTGTATAGCGCACTGACCGATGTTGCCGAAGATGATGCCGTTCTCGGTGGAGGCGACCTTGACGTGCGCCTTGATGGTGGCGAAGTCGCGCGGCGCCAGCACCACCGCCGCCGGCCGCTCCACCAGCCGAAGGTCGCCCAACGTGGCCAGCTCCACTGTGCAGTTCTGGAGAGTGTCGTCTGCAACACACACATTCATATACATCAGTGGGTCTAGTCAAAATGCCATCGCTAACCAATAGGAAGCTTTCGATAATTTCAGCCGCCGCGTCACCAGTAATTCGATTCGATCGTAAAATGGCAGCCAAAATGCACATTGAACCACAATCGACGCGGCGATATAAAAGTTCATTCAAAATCGAATAAAAGCCTAAGGCGGGGTTGCACCATCTTACATTAACTTTGACAAACGTCTAAAATCTGTCAAACTCCATACAAAAAGCACCGGTTATAATTACCGTCAAAGTTAGGTGGTGCAACTCAGCCTTAGTGTTTTTATTGGTTTTCGATCGAATCGAAGCTTATCACCGGGGTTTTGGTAATCGCAATGAAAATGGCGGGTGTTTCGATTCGATTCGATTTTGATTGAGTCTTAAATGCATGATGGCTAAGCCTTTGTATGGGAAATTTCAATCTAGTCTTTAGATTATCGATAGGTAGGGCTTTGCGATTCGATTTTTGGCCGTTTGGCTAAGCCTTTTTCGTTATCGACCACTTTTGCGATTTGTTTATTTGTTTGCGACTGGTTTGCGATGGGTTTGCGATTTTAAAGTGTATTTTGACTAGACCCACAGATTACCAGATATTTCCTTGGTTTTCAACCTTATTCTATCTTAATAAAGTTCAAAATGTATTGGCTACAATTCAAACAGTTGAAGTGATGTGTTATCGTAGGCTCAAAGTCGCTAAGTCATTCCGCTATTGTATTCGCTCAGTGGTTTTAAGACTGTGGTCTCTTACAAACGCCGTAGACCGAATATACCGCTAAGCCGTAGGGCGCGTCACAATGCTTACTATAAAAATGTACCTTTGCGGTCTCTTTCAGACGTTGACAGGAACGTTTGACTTTGACATGAGACCGGAGACCGTACTCTAAAGGAACAGTCTCACTTCTCTGGCTGGGTCTACCCTGGGTCTGGAGACCCACATAATTCCTGGTTGACTTCACAGCGACATTTTACGTTGTACATCACAGAACAGAACTAAGGGCCTAGTGTGAGTTTACATCAAACGCGCTCACTAGTGGACATTAAATGTATGACGGAAATACGGAATATACTATCGCCAACAGTGTTAACTGCCCATTGAAAGTCATGTCATCTCGTTCTATCGCAAAGAATTTTGAGCCATTTGATTAGAGCGAGAGCAAAAACGGAAATGAATAGTTAACAGTGTGGGCGTGTGTACGTACAGCGCCCCTAGCGGAAACGTTCAAGAACTAAAATTTTCATACATTTTTATAACGCGCTCACTAGTGAGGACGTTTGATGTAAACTCACATTCAGCCCACTGATCATCCTATCGGTTAACGGGAACACGTTCAGAAGCGACCGAGGAAGAGGCTTGGACAGACCAAACGCAGGGCAGTAGCAGCGCAGTTTGAATGAGGTCCCGTGCAAGTTGTACAAGAAACTCTTTGAAGTGTGTCACACCAAATTTGAACGCTGGCCCGCGCTCCAACCGCGCCGCGCTGCGCCGCACTGCAACTGCCGAACGACAAACCAGGCGGCGCGGGAGCGGGACAGAAGCGGCGCGGGAGCGGGACAGAAGCGGCGCGAGCGCGGGCCCGCGCTGTTGTATTACTATGGAGGCCATATTAGCTTAACACATCGGAGGCAGGACGGTAGTAGCGCGTTGAAAGCGGTTTTCGAATATAGAAATTTTTGACAACCGCCCACCTTGCAACTGCTTTGAAACTGCGCTGCTTTCAGTGTGCCTCAGCCGCGCTGCAACTGACCCGCGCTGCTTCTGACCCGCGTTTGGTCTGTGGAAGCCTTCAATGCTGATGATGCGACTGACCGGTCTGGTTGACGACGAGCACGTCGAGCACGATGTCGTACTGGTTGACGGCCACGATGGCCTCGGCATACACGGGGTCCGAGAAGCCCGTCAGCTGCGTCACCTTCGACAGCTTGCTGCTTTGGTCCGCCGACGTTGTGTTGCGACCTGAGTAAACAAAAAACATACATTTGAGACAGAAAAAGACACTGCAATATCTCGCAGTTCTCCCAAGAAATCCACGCAGTAAAGTGCCCTTGCTCATTCATGTTGCGCGGAGTCAGCGTTCTTATCATGCGGCGCCATTCAATTCACTGGTAAGCATCGTCAAAGGACAGGCCCAGATCTTTCATGCCTCTTTGGACATCTGACATTTGAATAAACCTAATTATAAGAAAGTATGATTGTGAAAGCTGACCCCGTTTTATGGCGGGCGTTGACATTTGTTGAAGCTCATTAAGGGTGGATTTGACCAAACAAGACTAAATATTAATCTCAGAATAAATCGTCAGTTATTCGACATTTTGACATATTTCCCATACTGAGACAGTCAATGTGCCAGTTACACCAGGAGTTACTCTTGGAAAAAAGTTTGGTCGAATCGGGCCTAAAAAGTTTTAAGGCCTCAACCTCGAGTTTAGCGGGCAGCGGGGCGGGAGCGGCGGCGGCGCGGGAGCGGGGCGGGCAACGCAGACCTGTTCTCGAAACAAGCGGGCAGCTCACGCGGCGCTTTAGCGGCGAAGTGTTGTGTTCGGGGTTGTGTTGTCGAGATATTTGTTTTTATTCGCAAACGAAATGTCTGAACAACGGCGACAATTTTATTTCGATTCAAATTTATTTCTAACGCTCGATTTATTGTGGGCAAAAGAAGGAGTGCGCTCTGCCCGCTCGTTGCCCGCTCCCTCGCCGCTGCCCGCTCGTTGCCCGCTCCGGCGCCGCTCCCGCGCCGCTGTTTTCGAGAACCGGTCTATTTGATTTTACGCATAAGATCCTGCCGCTCCCGCGCCGCCGCCGCTCCCGCCCCGCTGCCCGCTAAACTCGAGGCTGAGGCCTAAAACGTGACTAGTATACATCATGTACCTTGCAGCGCCCTGTTGAGCGAGAGCTCGAAGATGTCGTGGTGCTGGTGCGCGGCGCCGGCGCCGGCCAGCAGCGCAAACTGGATGCCCGTCTCCACCTCCACCTTCGGCTCCACACGCTTGCTCTCGCGCTCCTGAAATGAAAAATGAAAAAAAATGAAAATGTTTTATTTGATAAATAAAGTGGATTAACAAGATATTTTGGTAACCATCCTTTTAAGTATAAGAATACCTGTAGTAGGAGGTTACCGCTCTTCCAAAAGTATTAACATACATTCTTAGTTAGTGTGTTTGTGGACTTTGTGGTGTATTGAGTGAATTTGTGTGTAGTGTTATGAGTGGTGTATTGAGTGAATTAGTGTGTTGTGTTGTGAGTGGAGTGTTGTGTGTATTATATGTGTAGCAATATAGTCCTGGGAAGAAGAACTACATTAAACACAGAAATGTCACTTTCAAGGCCTACGCTGAAACTTGCGCAGATACACGGAGCAGGTGGCCACTTATCATCATTATCATCATTTTAAACATAGGACGTCCACTGATGAACATAGACCTCCCTTAATGTTTTCCATAAAGACCGGTTGGTATATAGCGGCCTGCATCCAGCGCCTTCCTGCTACCTTTATGAGGTCATTGGACTTCCTACGCTGAGCTTTCTGGTACGTTGCCTTCACCCCAGAACCTTGCTGCCCCATCGGCGAGCCTATAATAGTGGTTCGCACCACTTTTTTTTGCTCATATCAATTTTCGACTTGAGAGTGCGTGCACTTGCGCAAGTATCATTAAAGGAATAAGACATGTAATTCAAAGAACACAATAACACGACTAAACTATAAAACACCTTGAACTGAGATCTAGTCTACTTTGAACACCTGGATTTGATCTTTGATCACCTAAGTGATCTTATCCATAGGTGATCAAAGGACACCAAAGTATCGCCTGGAGTCCACTTTCTGGATTAGATCACCCAGGTGATCAGTGGACTCCAGGCACTACTACATAATAAACTAATAGACCTGAATTAAGTTATAAAGACGACGATTGCAAAAAAGTTTCATAATTATGACGGACAAAACAAAGAGTATGTGCAAACAATAGCCTATGGCTCGCGAAGAGCCATTCAGACTCTTCCGGCCCATGACATGCGGCGTAACATGACGTCACTCACCTGTGAGGGCTCAAGCAGATGAGCAGCCGAGTCCGGCAGAGCCAGCAGCGCGGATAACGCGGAGCGAGATGTCGTCAGCAGCGCGTCTACTACCACCTGCGGGAATTACTAGTTAGTTATGAGATACATAATGCACAATAATGATATAAATTACATATTTATTTATAACAACATTTCACTGTCATTCACTATGGCAACACTACTACTACTCTACTACACTACACATGACAACACTTACCTCAGGGCGCGCGGAGGCAGCCTGTAGGCACAGCGCGGCATGCTCTAGGTCATCAGCAGTCAGGCCCGACTGGGTGCCGTTGGTGTCTGCCGACAAAGGATATTAATAAGTAAAGTGCCGAAATAAGGTCAAACCTATCAATTTGCATGTTTGCATTTTGAATTTTAAAGAGAGCCAATAAAGTTTAAATTCGGGAATCTAATTTTTGTGGGATATTGATCTTTCAACTTTTAGACAAATGAGTTTAATGACATGACTCTATCAAAATTTAGACGGATTGTGAACATTTTGGGACCGATGAAAATTTCCAGATCCACAGGCCTCATTTAGAGTAGAGGTAGGCGCGAAAGCTAGCGCGGGCGCGTGTAAATTAAAATTAATGTAGACGTCAGTTGCGTTTAGCCGTTCACCGTGCTCACGCGAGCCGCACGTCTGCATGTGGTAGGAGCGGGCATTTCCATTGGCTGCCCGTACCGCTCACAGTGATATAGCGCAATGAAATTCAAAAGTTTGAAGCAACCGCTCCCGAGCCACCCGCTAGTGCAGTTTGATTGAGGCCACACGTTGAAGAAGCCGCTTTTGACCCAACGTTGGCGCCAACATATGCGGCCAGTCACAGTTCCCTTGTCACGTCACTTACTAGCTCGCATCTTGTGGTGGGCGAGCATACGCGCGGCAGTCGCAGCGCCATCTTGCCGAGCACGCGCACGCCGCTGTGAACGATTCGCCGCTGCGCAGCGCTGTAATCGTTTAGGCTACTCCCTCCACCCGCTTTGCACGCTGCCTATAGTTCCCTAGTGACGTCACTCACTGGCTCGCCGCTTGTGGTGCGCGAGCAGACGCGCGGCGAGGTGCAGCGCGCGCGCACGCCGCTGTGAATGATCTTTTAAAGCCCGGTCCGTGAGCACGTAGAATTTTGTCCAATGACCCCAAGCTACCCAACTTTATCGCTAATTATATTGCTGTCGCGACTGTGCGACTGGCACCCGCAGTGAGTGTGCGAGCGCGACAGCAACATAATTACGCGCGAGCGATAAGGATAGTGCATAGCAAGCAGAACTGACAGCCGATGGGGCAGCAAGGTTCTGGAATGGAGGCCGCGTACCGGAAAACGCAGCGTGGGACGTCCACCCACAAGGTGGTGAAGGAGCAGCCGCGCGGCAAAGTGCAGCGCCATCTTAGCCAGTGATGAGTTCGCGCACGTTGCCGTGAACGACTCACTTCTGCGAGCGCTGTGATCGTTTAGGTTACACCTTCCACTCGCACCCTGCCTATAGTCCACTATTAGTGACGTCACTCACTGGCTCGCAGTTTGTGGTGGGCCAGCAGACGCACGCCGCCGTGTATGATTCACCGCTGCGCAGCGCTGTGACCGGTTAGGCTATTCGCTCCACTCCACTCGCTTTGCAGGCTGCCTATACTATAGGGAACTATTCTAGTGAGTGCACTCACTGGCTCGCAGCTTGTGGTGCAGCGCGCGCGCACGCCGCTGTGAACGATTCGCCGCAGCGAGAGCTGTGATCTTTTAAAGCCCGGTCCGTGAGCACGTAGAATTTTGTCCAATGACCCCTAGCTACCCATCCTTATCGCTAATTATATTGCTGTCGCGACTGTGCGACGGGCGCCCGCAGTGAGTGTGACGAGCGCTGTGACCGGTTAGGCTACTCCCTTCACTCCACTCGCTTTGCACGCTGCCTATAGTTCCCTAGTGACGTCACTCACTGGCTCGCCGCTTGTGGTGCGCGAGCAGACGCGCGGCGAGGTGCAGCGCGCGCGCACGCCGCTGTGAACGATTCGCCGCTGCCAGCGCTGTGATCGTTTAAGTTACACCTTCCACTCGCACCCTGCCTATAGTTTTAGGCTACTCCCTCCACCCACTTTGTACCCTGCCAATGTCCACTAGTGACGTCACTCACTGGCTCGCAGCTTGTGGTGAGCGAGTAGTCGCGCGGCCAGGTGCAACGCTCGCGCGGCGGCGGCAGGCGGCAGGCGCAGCGCCAGCTTGGCCAGCGCTGAACACGCACACGCTGCCGTGAACGATTCGCCGCTGCGCAATGCTGTGCTTAGACCGGATTCGGCGTCTGTTGTTGCGCTGGACGATCTGTGAGAGAAACGAACGTCTGTCATCATCGAGTCATTGAATTTTCATTACCGGAACACAATCCTCTGGGAAACGACAGGAGGATTTGACCTATAGTTCCAAAATACTGAACTGTCCTATCCATGACATTGACAGTGGGGCGCCACCGTAAATACCGAATTTTTGCCATGTTGAAAACCATTTAGTTGAACGATGGTAGCGCCCCCCTGTCATTGAGTTTGGTGGGACAGTTCAGTATGGGTCATCTATACCTAATGCATTAATTTTGACCAATTCTAAGGCCGCTGCCTCGAATTTCGCGGTCATGGGGCGGCGCGGGAGCGGCAGGATCTTTTTCATAAAATCAAATAGACCTGCCCTCGAAAATAGCGGCGCGGCAACGGGGCGTGTCTGTGTAAACCACGTCGCTACCCGCGTAATTTTACATGGGAATTACACTTAGAACCTTTTGATTGCTAGGCGACTGCCCTGATATCTGAACGAAAAGTCATTAGTTAATTGATTTTTTTTTTCAAAATATCCTTCGATATTAATGTATACAATTAAATTTTTATTGAATTATCAAATGTTGCTGATTAATTAAGAATATTATCATAATTATGGGCTTCGTCAGCCCCACACACTGGAAAGTACACCCTGTATACGACTTACTGCGGCAAGTTGAAAGCAGACTGCGAAGCGTAGGTGCCGTCACTGGTCACCAGCTGCCTGGGCGCAGACGTGTCCACTTTAGGCGCCGCAGCTTCATCCTGCAACACAATAATGCGTTTAATATATTGGTACTAGCGAGCGATAAAAATACGTCACGCGACCTTCCAAAGTTTTGAAGCAAATGGCTGGTTCTGAAAAGAGAATTTGATCTTGAGAGAACTTGAAAATTGGTACACTTATGCACGTTCACAAACACTTAATCTAAATATGCATAACTTAAAAGTAACTGACTGACTGACATAGTGATCTATCAACGCACAGCCCAAACCACTAGACGGATCGGGCTGAAATTTGGAATGCAGGTAGATGTTATGACGTAGGCATCCGCTAAGAAAGGATTTTACGAAACTCCACCCCTAAAGGGGAAAAATGGGATCCACGCGTACGAAGTCGCGGGCGGCCGCTAGTGGATAATAAATCTACCATTATCACTCATTAATAGTCTGGAATTGAAACTTATACAAAGCTGCTAAACATGACGCTTCACTTTCCCGCCAAGAAACCCAACTGGTATCTTATTCAGTTGTAATAAGAGCTAAAGTACGGCCAACTAGCAGCGATACAAAAGGTCGATTCGACTGTCGAACTGACAATCTATTCTGTCTCTTCCCATCTTGTGTATTTGTTGTAATGTCTCGTTCTCCCGCCAAAATATGTCAAATTCAAACCCCTGCTATTCCAAATGACCATGACATTGGGTTTGTTTACATTTGGTATAGTTCCAAAATACTGAACTGTCCTATGCATGACATTGACAGTGGGGCGCCACCGTCAATACCGGATCGCTAGTTCCGATTTTTGCCATGTTGGAAACCATATAGTTGAACCATGGTAGCGCCCCCCTGTCATTGAGTTTGGTGGGACAGTTCAGCGTGGGTCATCTATATCGCCACTCGTTGGCCGTACTTTATATTACCTTGTCCTCGCTCTGCTCGAGCGCAGGGATGGCGTCGGCGAGCGCGTCGAGAGCGGCGTTCGCTCGCGCCGGTGTATCCGCGAATTCTGCGAGCAACCACAGCGCCGCGCGGGCAACCTTGCCCACTTTGATTTGAGAGATGCATTCCAGAAGTTTCTAGAACAAAATCGATAGCTAACTCCAATATAGATGATAGACGACAGTACATTAAGTTAAACACTGGGACCTTGTGTAGTTGTAATAAGAGCGAATTTGCAACAAAAGTAGGTAGTCTGATGACTCTGATGTGCTGTGATATGTACCTGTAAGGCGCTTCGATTTTTTGCTGTTATTATGAGCGGCCTGTAAAACCACTAAGCAAAATATAGCAGTGGGCGTTGCATGTTACATGGCTTGTGGAACTGACGGCCGGAGCGACCAATTTTTATTAGTAGGTCTCTTCCTATATAAGTAGGACCCATTCGTGGTCAATAAAGGTTGGTCTCAAGAAGCGCCTTTGCCAAGTAGTAGACATCTTTGGTTTAATCAACTACCATTGCATATGATAGACGCGTGACCCAGCAAGTACAGCGGCGCCACCTCTAGAAACCAAGGGCAACGTAAACTCAGCGTCAAATAGTTCGTGACGCGACACCCAAAGTGACCAAAAAGTTGATAACACAACTGCGAACTTTTTGGCTACTTTGGGTGTCACAACCTATTTATTTTATTTTTCTTTATTCAGAAAATCACAGCTCTTTATTTTATTTTATAAAACACATGACAAATTACAATTAAAAAAAAATTTTGCTTAATCTAGATTGTATTTCAGAAGTATGTGTTATTAGAAAAGCAAGGTGGGTGGGCAATACAGTTCAAACGTCACCGCAGCTATGCACGTAACATACGGACTCGAGCAAACAATTAATAATACACTTCAATTTAACGTTGACTTGACTGTACCGGGCAGGGCACACAGTACGCAGAACTGACGGCCGATGGGGCAGAAAGGTTCTGGAATGGAGGCCGCGTACCGGAAAACGCAGCGTGGGTCGTCCACCCACAAGGTGGACCGACGCGATAGCAGGGAAGCGCTGGACGCAGGCCGCTACCAATCGATCAACATGGAAAGCATTGGGGGAGGCCTATGCTCAGCAGTGGACGTCCTATGGCTGAAATGATGATGATGGTGATGATGACTGTACCTCGTAGATGGTGTCGCGCAGGTCGACAAAAGTGTGCAGCGCGGCACGAAGGAACAGCAGCACGTCGTGCGCGTGCGGCTCGGCCCCGTCGCCTAGCAGCTCCAGTAATGCCGGCGCCACCGACCCGGCCACCTCCGGGAACTGACGGTAAACAACATATTTTATGTCAGAACCATGGGCAGTTTCTTAAGCGGTGGTTATTAGTCTGTTATTGTTTCACTGTATGTTTTCCGAACAAAATAAAATAAATAAATACCGAGGGTGAGGGGAGGCGGAGAGAAGGCAGTTGTTTCCCTTCCTTTTGGGTCAAAAGCTAGTAAGGTTCATGGTTATGGTCATGGTCAACACTCTTTTGTTTTAGCTACCAGGATGTTATGCTTATATCTTATGATCAGAACGAAAATGGAAACAAGCATCAATTAGAAACATCTTTTTTTTATATAGTTATTAAATCGTGGGTTCAATTCCCGCCTTAGGCAGTTCGATTTTTTCAAGTTATTTATAATCTTTTTTTTTCTTTGTTTTTATTATGAAAACCAACAGCAATACAATACAAATAATGAGACCTTAAATTATGTATCTGATGCTTAGCCATTTATAAGTAATCAACCGCATATAGGAATAGAATTGAGACATATAGTCTTAAGCCGGTTTTAGAATGGCGCTGACGCACCCTGATCGTCGAAATGTATGAAGCGTCGGCGCCGAGTGATCAGCGTGACACATCATTACATACACATGGCCGCGTATCCACTGGCCTAGCGGCCTAAAACACGTCTTACTGAATATTGACTGAGTAGTAGTGAATAGTGACTGAGTTTCTTGCGCTGCTTCTTCTCAGCACTGACCCATTTATTGTCCCGAAGCACTGGTAGGGTTAATACTGGGACGTGTAAAAGTGCTTTTTGAAAGCCTGTTTGCAAAAATAAACGAGTTTTACCAGGCCTGTTCATCTCCGCGAGTTTTCATAAAAAAAACACGCGCGACTACCCCTCTTGAGATACCTAATCGACAGGACAATCACGAGCGAGTATTGACGCACGCACGTATTCTTCACCCATTTGCATTGTAAAGACAATAAACAATATGTAAAAACGGTGGTGTAATTAATACTGTGTAGTATTTTTTAACTGCCTGAATAATATTAGAAACACAAAATATAATTCATGGTTATTCATGTATTTCCTCCGCCATTTTCCGCAGTTTGGCACCTCACGTCACATCATTTTACCGAAGTCAGCCCTATGTCTTCGGCGCAGTACCGATCACTGAAGTTTGTCAACAAAATGGTGCTTGACTCTTGAGACAGGCTAAATTACACCATATTGTTAATGACATTGAGCATACATTTTTTTGAATACCTTCGCGAAGTAAGACTACTGTACGTAGTACTTGTTATTATTCTGTGGTTTTACCTTGAGCGCGGCGCGGTGCAAGGCCCGTACTAACAGCTGGCGGTACTTGTTGGCGTCGTCGTGGTCGGCGCTGTGCGAGCGCGCCGCCTCCTTGCGAAGCACCTGCACCAGCTCCTCGGCGTGCCGCGGCGTCACCAGGTCCAGCGCTGGAATGGAACAATAGATATAAATACTGAACAAAATATGTATAGATTAGTCTAGAAATCATTGGAAGACGTCTATGTTTGGCAGCAGACGTCCTGTAACTGATATGATGTGATGATGAATGAAGATAGTTCAAAAAAAGTTTGAACTTTGACCTACTCTACCACTGCTTCCCGCAAAGCCGCCAGATGATGGTCAACTATATGGGTGTCTGTTACTGCTTTAGCTGTCGCAATGTCATTAAATATACATAATCCTGCTGCAGTTACATCACCAATGAGGGCCTAAGCTAAAACTTGCACAAGCGCATGCACGCATGACACGCCTATCGAAAAAATGTATCGCGCAGCGTGGTTCGGACGCGTGATACGAGACGGGTTTTGTACCGTGAGAGAAGTACATCTAAAGAATGCTAAATGAAATACTGGAGATTGAGATAGTTAAGAGTTTATTGCTATATGTCGTAAATTACAATGTTATGCTAATGCTAAGAATGACGTGTGATTGCTATGAATGCGATGAAAGCACTGATTTATTGAACGGAATTAGAACGTACAAACGGCGGAATTACTGACGGAATGATTTGAGTGTAATACAATATGTACACCGTACAGGTTTCTACACAATAGGCGCGAGAGGATGCACGCCGCATGCGAGCAACTACATAATTTCCCCTCTCCTTTTCTCTATTTTTATCAATTCCATCACCTTCGGTATTGGCTCGTCTCACCATCTGTATGCCGACGATCTTCAACTTTACCGACATTGCCGCTTTGACGAAATTGACCAGGCTGTACACCGCTTAAACGATGACCTTGAACATATCAGGGAATGGTCAAATCGTTACGGCGTTGCTGTTAATCCCAACAAATGCCAGGCGATAATAATCGGAAGCCAGCGACAACTCTGTCGTTTAAACATGGATAGTGTCTCAACTGTCACTTTGAATAGTGTGGACATACCATACTGTACTAGTGTTAAGAACCTTGGCCTATACCTTGACTCTACTCTTGGCTGGACGACTCAGGTCTCTGAGATTAGTCGGAAGGTCACTGCTACATTGCGTTCTCTTTGCAGATTAAAATATTTCCTTCCTGTCAAAACCAACATTTTACTTGTCTACGCCCTAATTTTCCCGCTCATAGATTATGCTGATGTGTGTTATCCGGACCTTAATCAAGTTCTCCTTAACAAACTGGACCGCCTTCTCAACAATTGTATCCGGTTCATATTTTGTCTACGTAAGTATGACATCTCCTCCTACCGATCTGAGCTCAAATGGCTACCTGTTCCTCTACGGCGTAATGCCAGAATTCTCACTACACTTTTTACCATCTTAAACGACCATAATGCTCCTTCCTATCTGAAATCTCAGTATACTCTTCTAAGTTCAACTCACGTAAGGCAACTTCGTTCCTCCAACAAACTTCTTCTTTCTACCCCATCCCACCGCACTGGTTTCCTCTCTAACTCATTCCTTCTCCAATCTATTCGCCTTTGGAACGCTCTTCCCGAGAACATTAGGCAGGCTCCCAGCAAGTTTGTGTTCAAATACTCTGTGCGCAAGCATTTCCTTGAACATATCTCGTCGTCTTGATCTCTCTTAAACCTTCTCGTTATCCACCGTATATTATGTATATGCATGTATTTATGTAGGTATATATATATTTTGTATTAATTTATATTATAATATTTTATGTATTATATTAGATTTTATTTTTTTGTATTTGTACTATTTTGCACCGCCTACTTAAATTCTCTGTTTTGTTTAATTTTCTGGTTAGCTGGAAGAGAATGCCACATGTTATTAAGCTCGCCTGTTTACCACTGTATTTTTATGTGTGCAATAAAGATTTTAAATAAATAAATAATAGGTGTGTGCACAGTGGATAGCCGTCGCGAAACGCAGTAGCTTGCGTCGAATTTCCGAAACGGGTGCCCGCTTTTTGCACACATTAAGTTTCAGCGTACAGCCTTTGCACTGTTTATACTGCCGCGCCGCCGGCGAAATTATGCTTTGACGGCGCGGTGGCGGCGCGGCGGAGGCGCGGCGGCGGCGCGGCAGCGGACTTTACTCGGCGCGTATGAACAGTGTAGCTGTAGGGGCGCGGCGTCGGCGCTCCCAGCTATTGTTGCATCATCACGGGCTTGCAACTCACCCAGCTGCAGCGTGTGCTTGCGCACGTCGAGGTCGGAGGAGGCGAGCACGCGCAGCACGTCCATGGCCAGGTCGGGCAGCGCGCGCGCCGCCGCCTCGCCGCCGTCCTCGCGAAGCGCCGCCAGCCGCCCCACCACGATCAGCTTCACGTTGTTGTCGCTCTCTTTTACGATCAGGTCGATGTAGCACGCAGCTGCCGCCTGGGGGTGAAACAATGGAAGGAATTCAGCCAGTCATACGCACGCAAGCGTATTATTGAACAAATATCATGTGTCATCAACGAAGGCCTACGTCCACGCACATTATAATTCTTGCTTGCCACGATACTTGCCACGATAGCCGAGCGGTGAAGGGGTAGGACTGGCCGACTCGTGATCCGGGGAACGCGGGTTCGGTCCCCGCCGCCGCTCGACTATTGTGGTGAGCTCACTCGTGACACAAGCATATTTAGCTTAGTACGAGGGGCTAACGGGAGTATTAGTAATTTGTGTAATAACAAATTACTAATAATCTTTAAAAAAAAATCACGTTTATATCTTCAGGACCCCTACACTAGCGTCTTTAGAGCTTAGGGCTCTTATCTTGCTATCGCCCGCGCAGCATCGATACGGCACTGCCTTAGGGTCACCGCGAAGCCGGCTGCCGAACACCGGATTTACGCAGCGCTGGCGTCATGATATTTAGTTAAAGAGTTGGTGCGCTGCGTCGACGCTGCGCAGGCGCCGGTGAGACGACGTTCGAAAGACGCTAGTATAGGGGGTCTCTAAATCTCTTTTTTTTTCTTTTCGTAATCACATCGATTGCAGGATTAACTGCAAACGTCATGTATCGCGTGTGACGGGTTTCACGCTCGATGGGGGCGGGAGAATGCGGTTTATACAAGGCAGGTATTTAACTGCAATATCAACTGATGTTAAGTGAGATGCTGTCTAGGATGGTACGTATGCCCTGTAAGTGCTTATTCACTCTCGCCTTGAAAAGTCTTATTATAGTCTATCCAATATAGCTTGATTAGAATGACGGCTGTCAAACGAATGTGACTAGTGATGGGTATGTTTCGTACGGTTCACATAGATGTATCGATAAGTTTTCGAAAAAATGATATGAAAAAATGCACCCAATTTTTTTCATATATCTTTATTCATAAAAATGACAATTATGATTTAAATTTAAAGACGTAAAAAAGTAGATGTACAACCTAAGTCGTAGTCATTATCATCAGTGTTCTTCAGTGGTTTTTTCCTCTCGCAAGAGGGCGGTGGGCATCTCTTCTAGAGCAACGGTGCTATGAATACCCAAAAAATTACCGGTGATTGATTTCCGATGTTTGATTATTTAAGAATGAAATGTTTTTTGGTTTTTAATAGTGAACATCTAGCAAAACGTATAACTTGACTTAAATATGTTAAAAAATTAGTTAAAAAAAAATTTTGNCACTAAGAACCTTTTGATTGCTAAACGACTGCCCTGTCTGAATGAAAAGTCATTAGTAAATTGATTTTTTTTTAATATCCTTCGATATTAATTTATTTCTAAGTTACGGTGACATAAACCTAACCTAACCTAACCCACTGTTTGTTTACAATCTAACGCGTTATATTATAAACTGACAGAGATCACAATTTCACGTTGACATATACAATTCAATTTTTATTGAATTATCAAATGTTGCTGATTAATTAAGAATATTATCTTAATTATGGGCTTCGTCAGCCCCACACACTGAAAAGTTCACTCTGTATATGACTTACTGCGGCAAGTTGAAGGCGGACTGCGAAGCGTAGGTCCCGTCGCTGGTCACCAGCTGCCGCGGCGCAGACGTGTCCACTTTTGGTGCCGTAGCCTCGTCCTACAACACAATATTACACTTAATATATTGGTACAGGCGAAAAATAAAAATACGTCACGCGACCTTGTAAAGTTTTGAAGCAAATGGATGGAGAAGTTGATCTTGAGAGAACTTGAAAATTGGTACACTGCACATTCCCAAACACTTAATCTAAATATTATAATAATTCAAAAGTAACTGACTGGCTGACATAGTGATCTATCAACGCACAGCCCAAACCACTGGACGGATCGGGCTGAAATTTGGCATACAGGTAGATGTTATGACGTAGGCATCCGCTAAGAAAGGATATTACGAAACTCCACCCCTAAGGGGGTAAAACGGGATCCACGCGTACAAAGTCGCGGGCGGACGCTAGTGGATAATAAATCCACCATTATCACTCATTAATAATCTGGAATTTAAACTAAAACAAAGCTGCTAAACATGACGCTTCACTTTCCCGCCAAGAAGCCCAACTGGTATCTTATTCAGTTGTAATAAGAGCTAAAGTACGGCCAACTAGCAGCGATACAAAAGGTCGCTTCGACTGTCGAACTGACAATCTATTCTGTCTCTTCCCATCTTGTGTATTTGTTGTTGAGCTTGACTAAAATTTTATTAATCATTTTCTGACATATTGGAATGCTTCGACGTCTCAATTCAAATTGTTTTTGTAATTAATGTTATTTAAAATTATTTTTAAGGTAAATACTAACCCTCTCTCTGATGTTTTGCTGTGCCCTTGCAGGGCGTCACATGTATACCTACCTCTATTTTGCAACAACATATAAATTGTAATGTGACATGCAATAAACGTTTTGAATTTGAATTTGTAATGTCTCGTTCTCCCGCCAAAATATGTCAAATTCAAACCCCTGCTATTCCAAATGACCATGACATTGGGTTTGTTTACATTTGGTATCGCCTCTCGTTGGCCGTACTTTATATTACCTTTTCCTCGCTCTGCTCGAGCGCAGGGATGGCGTCGGCGAGCGCGTCGAGCGCGGCGTTCGCGCGCGCCGGCGTGTCGGCGAATTCTGCGAGCAGCCACAGCGCCGCGCGGGCAACCTTGCCCACTTTGATTTGAGAGATGCATTCCAGAAGTTTCTGGAACAACATTGATAGTTACCTTTTTAGGCATATAGAAGACATTTGTCTTTTTTACTCCAACATAGCATACATTGTAAAGCACTCCAATTTTATACTGCGTTATCAATGAGCAATATGGACGACTGAATCACTAATTTCATTAACCAAGTGGCAGTAGGCGGTGCACATAGTTTATAGAACTAATGGCCGTAGCTACTAAAAACCATAAAACGTGGTATACGTAGGCCTCCAATTAGATGGACCGACGATTGCGATCGGTGAATATCACGGCAAACACCTAGATGTTAACTATACATGACCAATCGTCGTAGCTCCTGGTCCTTGGAAGAAACCTTTACCCAGCAGTGGACGTCTTTGGTTCAATCGACGACAACGACAACGAAACACGCCAAGAATTTACAGTAATAGGCAGGAGGCACCCGCCGCGGAGCGTAGACGCGTCGGAAGATTGGAGCGGGCAACTGCTTCATGCACCTGCGCAAGCACCCTAAGGCTGGTTTTAGTGTCACGCGGACCGTCCGGTGCGGACCCGCTCCGCACGGCCAATCTGTATGAACTTCTAGGGAGCGTTTTAGAGTAATGCGGTCCGGAGGAACCGCTCCGCTCCCAAGCAGTTCATACAGATCGGCTGTGCGGAGCGATCCGCACTGACAGTCCGAGTGACACTGAAACCAGCCTTAATAGGCATGCCACCGCGGAGCGTAGACCAGGATCGGAAGACCAGAGCGGGCACCCACGCAAGTTTCAGACCCTAAAGAAACTACAAAGCTAACACTAAGCACTATGAGTTTTGGCTTAGCTTAGTTTTGCACATCCCCTTGTGCAAAACTAAGCTAGGCCAAAACTCGCCAATTAACCGGTTGTGTGCAACGTATAATAAAGCGGTGGCTGGCGACACACACACCAGTCTTGACGTTTTCGGTGACAGCCTCCCTAAATTTAAGTCAAAACTCAAGCCTGTATTCGGAACGACTTAGGCACCGAACAAAATGAACAATTACTAAAACCTTTATATTTTTCGGTGCTTAAACTCTATTCAATTGATTTTTGTTTTTACTAGTGTATAAGTATCCTAACATTGCAAAAAGAAATGCTGTGTATACCTGTAATTGAGGACATATACGCATCATGTGTTAAACCATGTTAAAATGTATGAACTGTATTATGTATGTGACTTTGTTGGTGTACCTAATAAATAAATAAATAAACTCATTAATAAACGTCGCGTTAAGACCCGTGTCTTACTATTATAATTGAAATGGAACGCGAAAGTTTAATGAACGCCCACCTGTTCAATATTGTTACTATTGTTTTACTTTTATGATTTTAAAGCGAATGGGTTGCGCCTGTGGATTACTTGTCTTTATGGGTAATTCATAGGCGCAGCTTACTTTTTTGTTACTTTTATCTCTGTGACACAACGTTTACGTGATTGTTATTGCATGCTGTGTGTACACGTTTTTAGGTTGCAATCTAGATTTATAAGCATTATTTTGTAATAATTGCAATTATTTGTAACTACTATTGTATCCCTTGATTGTTACCTGTTGTGTATGCCTTAATAAATAAATAAATGATAATGGTGATGAACGGACCACTCGGACAATAAGCGCACTCACCTCGTAGATGGTGTCGCGCAAATCAGCGAAAGTGTGCAGCGCGGCGCGCAGGAACAGCAACACGTCGTGCGCGTGCGGCTCGGCCCCGTCGCCCAGCAGCTCCAGCAGCGCCGGCGCCACCGACCCGGCCACCTCCGGGAACTGACGGTAAACAAGATATTTTATGTCAGAACCATGGGTAGTTTCTTAAGCAGTGGTTATTAGTATGTTTTCCGAACAAAATAAAATAAATAATACCGAGGGTGAGGGGAGGCGGAGAGAAGGCAGTTGTTTGTCCTCTCCTGAGTCAAAAGCTAATAAGGTATATGGTCATGGCCATGGTCAACACACTTTTATTTATCTTATAATCAAATCAAAAATGGAAACAAGCATCAATTAAAATCATCTTTTTTTTTATTAGGAAAACCAACAGCAATACAATACAAATAATGAGACCTTAAATTATGTATCTGCTTAGCCATTTAGGGAGAGTAAATTTATTGAAATCCAATTTAGTAACCCTGTGGTACAAATTATCGAACCGGTTGGCTAAATTGGACCGAAGCTCTGAACTCGTACTTTGTTGATTTGTGCTAAATATACAACAATCATGTTAATTAATACTTATGAAATAGTAAGTTGAATAATGTATCTTTTATTATATACCATGGACATTAGCAAAAACAAAAGAAAACTATGTGTAAAATGGGATTGAAAAAAACTGGTCCAAATTAGCGGACTCTCCCTTATAAGTAATCAACCGCATATAGAAATAGGCCTCTGGAATTGAGACATATAGTCTTAAGCCGGTTTTAGAATCGCGCTGACGCACCCTGATCGTCGAAATGTATGAAGCGTCGGCGCCGAGTGATCAGCGTCACTCAGGTCATTACATACATATATGGCCACGTATCCACTGGAGGTAGCCTCGGGCCGAGCGGCTGCCTCGTTCCAAGGGACACGATTTGGTATGGCTGGTGGCGACGAATTTGCCTCAGGACGCGGCGTGCTGCAAATTGACGTAGCGTCCCGACTTGCTTTGCCTTAATCCGAGACTGCCTCTAGCTAGTGGACAAGCGGCCTAAAACACGTCTTACTGTCTATTGACTGAGTAGTGCTGAATAGTGAATGAGTTTCTTGCGCTGCTTCTTCTCAGCACTGGCCCATTTATTATCCCGAAGCAGTAGTTGGGTTAATACTGGAACGTGTAAAGTGGCCCCGAGACGATCAATCGCGATTGTCAATTTTACGTGATTGACATTGATCGTTTACAAAAGGCATTGAAGCGATTGTCAATTGAATTTCAATTTACGTGATTGAAGCAAATTGATGATAATTTTAATTGAAGCCCAATTGAGGTGCCTTTGAAGCTAATATTGATCGTTTAGCTGAGCCATTGACAATCGTTTCCGTCAATTGGAGTTGTCAATAACGTAAATACATTGACAATCGCGATTGATCGTCTCGGGGCCGCTTAAAAGTTCTTTTTAAAAGCCTGTTTGCAAAAATAAATGAGTTTTATGAGTTTTACCTTGAGTGCGGCGCGATGCAAGGCCCGTACTAACAGCTGACGATATTTGTTAGCATCGTCGTGGTCGGCGCTGTGCGAGCGCGCCGCCTCTTTGCGTAGGACCTGCACCAGCTCCTCGGCGTGCCGCGGCGTCACCAGGTCCAGCGCTGGAATTGAACCACTCATATAACAAATACTGAAGATACAACGGAATACATACAGTATAGTTTAGAAAAGGTTGACTTTGGTTTCCTCTTCCTCCTCTTGCCACAAAACAACTGTCAGACGACGGTCTACTTTACGGGTCTCTATGGATAAATATTGTTACAGCTCTAACTTTTGCAATGTCACTCGATATCCCTAACCCTGCTTTTGTTATTTCGTCATTTCGTCGTTGAGAGCCTACGCTAAAGGTTGCGCCAGCGCACGTACGCGTATCTGTATCGTAAAATTGAATAAGCAGAAAGCAGAATAGAGTGGCACGGACGCGTGCGCGTGAGGAGGGTTTGTTCTAGCGATGCAACTAATAAGCGCCGCGGAGTGCAGGTAACGTTACCATTCCGTGCACCCACGCACACGCACCCAAGTTTTAGCGTACAGCCTTTAAGATTTCCAGCTATTGTTGCATCATCACGGGCTTGCAACTCACCCAGCTGCAGCGTGTGCTTGCGCACGTCCAGGTCGGAGGAGGCGAGCACGCGCAGCACGTCCATGCCAGGTCGGGCAGCGCGCCGCCCCACCGCGAGCACTATAGTCTGGTCCCATCTACCCATCCTTATCGCTCGCGCGTAATTATGTTGCTGTCGCGCTCGCACCCTCACTGCGGGCGCGCGTCGCACAGTTGCGACAGCAATATAATTACGCGCGAGCGATAAGGATGGGTAGCTTGGGGTCATTGGACAAATTGCTGTCGCGACTGTGCGACGGGCGCCCGCAGTGTGTGTGCGAGCGCGACAGCAACGTAATTACGCGCGAGCGATAAGGATGGGTAGCTTGGGGTCATTGGACAAAATTCTACGTGTTCACGGACCAGACTTTAGTATCGCAGCTGTTGTTGCATTATCACTAAGCAGCATGACTCACCCAGCTGCAGCGTGTGCCGGCGCACGTCCAGGTCGGAGGAGGCGAGCACGCGCAGCACGTCCATGCCAGGTCGGGCACGCGCGCCGCCCCACCGCGAGCACTATAGTCTGGTCCGTGAGCACGTAGAATTTTGTCCAATGACCGCTATCTACCCACAAAGACCGGTCCTGCGCCGCTTGCATCCAGGTACTTCCCGCGACCTTCACCAGATCGTCGGTCCACCTAGTGGGAGGCCTGCCCACGCTACGTCTTCCAGCTCGTGGTCGCCACTCAAGAACCTTGGGGGAGGCCTTTGTCCAGCAGTGGACGTCTTTCGGCTGAAACGATCGAACGAACGAACCCCTATCTACCCATCCTTATTGCTCGCGCGTAATTATGTTGCTGTCGCGCTCGCACACTCACTGCGGGCGCGCGTCGCACAGTCGCGACAGCAATATAATTACGCGCGAGCGATAAGGATGGGTAGATAGGGGTCATTGGACAAAATTCTACGTGCTCACGGACCGGGCTATAGTGCTTGTTCACGTTGACTCGCGGGCGCAGTGGCGGGCGCGATGAAGAAATATCAAACATATGTAGTGATTCCAAGTGTTCACGTATGAAACGCAGGTGCGGTCTAACTAGCGGGCAAGCTAGCGACTGGCGCGCGCGGAGCGCTCGCGGTAATTTCAACGTGTGAAGATGTTTGTGTGTGTTCATGTCAAACTAGCGGCGGCGCGCGCGTTTCACTTGTCGCTAGAAACGATAGTACGTCACACTCGCGCGAACGCCTGGTCGTCAATGTGAACACGAGCTCGCGACGTTTCCCGTGCCTACGTGAACAAGCACTTAGACAGCGGACTCACCCAGCTGCAGCGTGTGCTTACGCACGTCCAGGTCGGAGGAGGCGAGCACGCGCAGCACGTCCATGGCGAGGTCGGGCAGCGCGCCGCCCCACCGCGAGCACTATAGTCTGGTCCGTGAGCACGTAGAATTTTGTCCAATGACCCCTATCTACCCATCCTTATCGCTCGCGCGTAATTATGTTGCTGTCGCGCTCGCACACTCACTGCGGGCGCGCATCGCACAGACAAATTGCTGTCGCGACTGTGCGACGGGCGCTCGCAGTGTGTGTGCGAGCGCGACAGCAACATAATTACGCGCGAGCGATAAGGATGGGTAGCTTGGGGTCATTGGACAAAATTCTACGTGTTCACGGACCAGACTTTAGTATCGCAGCTGTTGTTGCATCATCACTAAGCAGCATGACTCACCCAGCTGCAGCGTGTGCTTGCGCACGTCCAGGTCGGAGGAGGCGAGCACGCGCAGCACGTCCATGGCGAGGTCGGGCAGCGCGCGCGCCGCCGCCTCGCCGCCGTCCTCGCGAAGCGCCGCCAGCCGCCCCACCACGATCAGCTTCACGTTGTTGTCGCTCTCTTTTACGATCAGGTCGATGTAGCACGCAGCTGCCGCCTGGGGGTGAAACAATGGAAGTCCGATTCAGCCAGTGGCACTGAAAAACTTGTCAAACGCACACAAACACAAATAACTTGTATCACCGACGAAAGTCTACGTCACGCACGTCATAATGAGGGTTTTCGCGAATGAAAAATCCGCCAGATGGCAATACGTAGACGCGAGCTCCACATGCTGCATGATTGGTTATTTTTGACATGACATTGACAGATATGTCAAAATCCACCAATCACGCAGCAGTCAGACCCCACATCCACGTCCCGCCATCTAGCGGATCTTTCATTCAAGAAAACCCTCATTCATGTGCGAGACGTCCACACCTTCAGGACCCCTACACAAGTGTCTTTCGAGTGTAATCGTCTTGTCAGCGCCCGCGTAGCATCGACACAGCGCTGGCTCAGTGTTGATGCTAATCGCGGCAAAGCTGAGCGGCTATCGAACTCCGGATCATCGGACGTCATGTGCTTCATCAACTGGTGAACAGGTCTGTACTAGGTAACTACAATAAAACCGTGGACTGTATGTACTACTATAATATCATTCTATTTCGCTTTCAAACTAGTTCTACTACATTGTTCTACATTTCTATAGACCTAGAAAGACACGTAATTTTGGGCTCCTCTTGACCCAAGGAAATGGAAAAAATCAAATTGAACCGCGTGTTAATCGACCCTCAGTGCCATCTAGTATCACTTTGTAACAACTAAAACCCAACATAAACAACAGTACTATCTTTTGATACTAGATGTCACTTTATACACATAAAATATGTGACTTCAACAACTGGGGACCAAAACCGCACTCACTAAGCCTTATCTCCTGTAACAAATGGTTACCTTTATAGCAGCGGGCGCGTTGGACAGCGTGACGAGCGTGCCGGCGGCCTCGTAGCGCACGGCGGCACTCGGCGCGTTGAGAAGCCCGTACACCGTGCGGATGAAGCGCGAACGCTCCGACGGGTTGGCGTGGCACACCTACGGGACACATTCACGAGTAAAGCTGGGTGATTCATTGAAAGTTAAAGGCTACCTTTTTTTACTGTATTATGACGTTCATAAGAGCCACTAGTGGTCTAAATTGAATAAAATATTTTTGATTTTGAGTCACAACGCGAGCGCTCCGATGGGTTGGCGTGNCGGGTTGTCGTGGCACACCTGCGGGACGCAGTCACGAGTATAGCTAGTGATTATTTGAATCTCACGTTTTTAGTTTTTAATGCTGAGCAATAAAGGCTTATAGTTCGTCAACTTTCTGAGCGACCGTCACCGTTTAAACCGGTAGGTGGGTGGTGTAGCGGGGAAGGAACATATGTAATTGCTACGTGCTCCTTTATCCCCGCCACCGTCTGTCAAATAATGGCAAAACGGTCACACACGAAGTTTTCGGGCTATAATATACTACGGGCTATAAATTCTACGGCTACATCAACTCAGATTTGGATCATGTGATTGATCGACAACACAAAGCAGCCTTTATCCTTCTCTCAAGTCTCATCTTCGTTCGTTCGTTCATTTCAGCCGAATGACGTCCACTTCTGGACAAAGGCCTCCACGAAGGTATTCCACAATGAACGGTCCTGCGCTGCCCGCATCCAGGCTCTTCCCGCGACCTTCACCAGATCGTCGGTCCACCTAGTAGGAGGCCTGCCCACGTCTTCCAGCCCGTGGTCGCCACTCGAGAACTTTTCTGCCAAGTCTCATCTATCTCTATCAAATCATATCATAGATCATCACAAATATTAATGTTAAAGGTATCATCAAGTCATCCCTCATCCTAACAAACTGACCTTATAAATCAGCTCCACAATAACCAGCTGCAGGATATCTCCAAAGCTGTGCACGTTATCCAGCCTAGCAGCCAGGTAGGCCAGCGCGCGCTCCTGGTCGGCATGCAGCAGCATTAGGAAGGCATTCCGCTTGCACGACATGTCTTGCTCGCTCTCTAAGAAGTTGGCGACGAGCTCGGGAGCGTCGGGGATTAGGAACTCGAAGTTGCTGTAAAGGTAATGGTGATTGTGAATTGAATCATTATTGACGCAGTTACACTATGCGTGAAATTGATCGAACAAAAGCGCGAGCACGGAAACTAAAGTATGGGCGACACACGGCGAAACTACTGAAGTGCGTGTTTACACTATGTCCCGATCATTTTTCCGCACAGTGTAACTTCGCCATGTAATTAAAGTAGACTCTAAGCACTACGGTTGAACATTGAATGTTGAAATGAAATTAGCGTTTATAGGTCTATTTTACGTCGGAAAATGCTTTATGCATACCCACTGGGGACGTCGATGGTACGGCCAGTGGTTATGGGACTATCCCTACCAAAAGGACCGGGTCTATCCACTAAAACCGGTGTAGACGGTGGTGTTCTCCAGAGCCCAATGAAACAGAGCTAAAGTTACTGTTCTAACTTGGACATTTGTCCGCGACTCTGTCTCATGTTATGGCTACTTTTTCGAAGTCCAATGAAACGGAGCGAGTTATTGTCCTAACTTGGACATTCATCGGCGGCTCCATCTTAGAACCCTGTAGCACTGGCGGATTGCAAACCTTATAAAAGCGGCGCGGCGAATACGTCGTAACTGCGCGGCGATCATGCCACGTGTGCGCAACGTTTCCGCTGCGTACGATACAATCGAGTGTAAGAGTAGGCACACACCGTTGATTTTTAGTTGGCCGATAGTTGTGCCCGATTTCAAATTGTATGAAGAATCGGCCAAATCGAATCGGCGTAGAGTGCGCACTCCCATACATGCCCATACTGATCAACAGCCCGACTAATCTATCGGCCGACGAAAAATCAACGGTGTGCGCCTACTCTAAGTGCGCATCCGCGACGTGTTCGCCAGTGTGGCAGGGCCCTGACTGTCCCAGGCTATCAAAATCAAAAATCTATAATATAAAAGAAAGTCGTGTTAGTTACTCCACTTATAACTCAAGAACGGCTGAACCGATTTAGCTGAAAATTGTCAGGGAGGTAGTTTAGAGCCAGGAGAAGGACATAGGATACTTTTTATCCCGTTCGAAATAAAAAAAAGTCTGCTTATTTATTGCCATTAAGGCGGAACAAAGTTCGCCGGGTCTGCTAGTCAAAAATATTTATTCAGTTTAGACCACAAGTGGCAAGTGGCACTTATGAACGTCAATAGAAAATAATAAAAAAAGAAAAGGTAGCCCTTATGGGGCACTTTACATGTCTCCTTATCTTTTGGGCCCTACCAGCGCTTCGAGACAAACATATGGCAAGTACTGAGAAGAAATATGCCCACACTCACCGGTAGATGGTAAAGATGGCCAGCACGGCGTTCCTGCGCACGTAGGAGTGGCGGTGCTCGAGGCAGGCGCGGATGGCGGGCATGAGTGGCTCCAGCAGCTCCGGCTCCTTCAGCTTGCACAGGAACCGCAGCGTCGAGCCCCGGATGAACTCGTTGGGGTGTTGGAGGTCCTGGGACGAATATGATGCTTTATTGTATCACTAGCTTTTGCCCACGGCTTCACCCGCGCGTGATTTGTCGCAGATCGTCATAAATTAGGCCTCAGCCTCGAATTTAGCGGGCAGCGGGGCGGCGGCGGTAGCGGCGCGGGAGCGGCAGGATCTTATGCGTAAAATCAAATAGACCAGTTCTCAAAAACAGCGGCGCGGGAGCGGGCAACGAGCGGGCAGCGGTGCGGGAGCGGGCAACGAGCGGGCAGCGGTGCGGGAGCGGGCAACGAGCGGGCAGCGCACTCCTTCTTTAGCCCACAATAAATCGAGCGTTAGGTATAAATTTGAATCGAAATAAAATTGTCGCCGTTGTTCAGACATTTCGTTTGCGAATAAAAACAAATATCTCGACAACACAACCCCGAACACAACACTTCGCCGCTAAAGCGCCGCGCGAGCTGCGCCTGCTTGTTTCGAGAACGGGTCTGCGTTGCCCGTCCCGCTCCTGCGCTGCTGCCCGCTAAATTCGAGGCTAAGGCCTTATAGACTATGGCGGTATCACACTGTATATGTTATTCTGTGTTATAAACAATAATACTGTAAAGTTTCATCTAAATCCGTTCAGTAGTTTTTGCGTGAAAGAGTAACAAACATCCAGACATCCAAACTTTCGCATTTATAATACTAGTAGGATTGGAGGAAGGCCTTTGCATGCCCAGCTGTTATTGTATCATCGGAGCAAGCCCTATGCACGCCCAACTGTTATTGTATCATTGGAGGAAGCCCTATACATGTCCAACTGTTATGGTGTCATTGGAGGAAACTAGCCTTTGCATGCCCAAGTGTTAAAGGTTTTCTAACTTTTTCCAAGGCAAAAGTTGACAAACAATGATAATAAATAAAAATTAATATCAAGACTACACTAGACAAAAATATATTGGTTGTAGCCTCAAAAGATGCAATATTTTGGGTTTCTGGCAGTTACAAAGGCCATGAGTCAAGAATCTTATCCAATTAGAATTGGTTGGATTATTGACAAAAATAAAGGTCACAGTGGCACTAATTTCAGTGACATACCTTCCTGTAGGCATCACAAACAAGGATCATCTCCTGCATCAGCTTTCCATCTGCTGTAGTCTTCGGGACGATCTCCCAGAAAATAAGCAGAAGCTTCTTGATGGTGTGGTCTTGCAGCGGCAGCACAAACCGGATTATAATCATAAGCAATCCTGGGATTTTTTCCCCAGAAAGGATTATGCCAATCACTTTCTTTAGGGCTTCAATTTTCTTTTTCGTGTCTCCTTTTTCTATTGACAAACATGAGTAAAAAGGTTTACTAAAAACACCAGACTGTTTATTAGTTGAAATAGTATAGCCAAAGCTGAAATAATTACCAAGATCCAGTTTAAGCTGCATCTCATTGTGGCGCTCTGTGTCGGTGGGGAAGTTGATCAAAGTGTAACATGGCTGCTCCACTCCCGCCATGCTGAAAATAAGTAATTACATTTCAACAAAGTAATTTACAACAGGCAGGTACAGTATGTCATATTTAGTCATAACTGGTCTTGCCACACTATTGCTGAATACATGGTACTTAAGTACTTAACTCAGATACAAAAGTAAATTCAGCAATTTGATAAAACAAGTTGATTCTAACTACTAACCTTTACGATACAAATAAAATAATGTGTAATCACTTATTAAAAGGTAAAGGTTTAGAACACATGATCAACTTGTACCGATAGTATTGATGAATACATACTGCTGGTGTTACATACTCAAAAAGGGTTATAAAGTTTCCTACAGCGATAAATGATTGGAAAACTGTGGAATTTATCAAACAATTAAGTATCCGGCGACCATTTATAGTACTTAATGGATACAAAAAACTTACCTGGTAATATATTAAAATACGGAAACTTAAACCGAATTGTATATTTTATTTGATGTTCTGAATAGAATATTCAGAATTACTCAAAAAAACAATTTATTTCACAAAAACGATACGTGTCCACATCCAACAGCAAACATGTCAAACGTCAAACTGACATTTCTAGGAATGAGCCACCGCTATGATGGATGAGTACGCTATGTTATGACGAATAATATTCGAATTCATAATTATGACGATTGATCAAAAGCAAGAATTTAATAGTTCCAAATGCTATGCATAATGTTAAAAACGCTATTTTCCTTATTAAAAAAAGTTTAAAAATTGTACTCATCATCTATCTCGGCGCTAATATTCCAGTTTTTACATTTCCGTAGGATTGAATAAAAATCGACTAAACTGATTAAATATTGTTGGACAACCCTAGAAATGTCAGAGTTCATGAATTTTCAGTTGACGTCGCAGCTGGTCATGCTTGTATTTTATCGTTTTCAAGCAAAATAGTATAATGTTTGATTAATTTAATGGATTGAAATAACTAATTATACAATGGCGGTGTTGGTGACGTTGTTTTATGTACTTTTATCTATCTGCATAATCTACCCTCCCACGGAATTCGTGTCCGCTGGATTTACTATCGCGCAGCTCTTCGAAGGGTTTTTAGGGTCGGAGAATGTGAATTTTGTCGGTTATCATATGAAGAGGATCTCAATTACTGCTTTCATTCACTCGTTGCTGCCGTTGGGGTATGTGTTCACGCTGTGGTGCGGTGGAGTGACCAACCAATGGCTGCCGGCGTCCGCGGCCGCGACCGCAATAATCCCGCTGCTCATGTGCTACCGATTGGTGACCTGGTGGGAGCACGATAAATCCAAGCATCCTGTGGTGAGGCCCTTGATCAGATATGCACCTGTTGACAGCGACTGGCGAGTGGTGGCCTCCCAATTGAACATGGACTTTAGGGGGTATGTATTCTATATTATCTTAGTAAAAAGTGAAAGGATATTGTCAAAATTCTTAACATTTCATGTTCCTTAATTTTTTGTTACAGTGTGGATAAAGTATCAATCCCTTTGACAGCTACCAGCAAGTTTGTAGCCACTGAAACATGGCTCATAAAAGTAACTCAATACAACCTACATATTATTAAGCAAACAGAATGTTCTTTAGTGGCCACCTCAGTAAGTGCATCTATACTTTTAAATCTTGATTTCATACATTAATACTTACGTAATGGCGAATTATCTTTTTCAACAGACAGATGTCCACTATTTGACCAGATCAGCTGAGGATGAAATCCAGTTCATCAAGATTGAAGCGATACCCACCGATAACAACATTCCGCGCTTCTCCTTCCGCATTTCAACCGCTGCACTGAGAGACCTGCAACCAAGACTGATTCACCCCGTGCGTGTGCCGGAACATCTCTCATTGCTTCCTTCATTGATTGAGAGATTTGTGAGCGTTTTCAAACAATATGTTGATCAGAATCCTACATATTATGTTGATCAGGTATGTGAATAGCATTTAAAAACTTTCATACAGTCCTAGGAATCTTGTTAAAAAGATGATTTAACTTTATTGTCACAAGTAAAATGCGTCACTATAAAAGCGAAAGATCACTGATTGACATCATGAAATCTCAGAAACTACAAGAGCTAGGGTTCTTTTTAGAACATAGGTGCCCACTAAGAACGGATTTTATGAAACCACCCCTAAGGGATCCACACGTATGAAGTCGCGGGTGGCCGCTAGTTGTCAATATTTGTATTGTTGATCTCATCAACATCCTATTGTGATGTTGAGACCAATTTTCATTTTACTATTTAAGTTATTATAATATTAAGTGAATTATGTCTTTTTAAAAAGCGATTGTGTAAATGAAAAATGTGTAATCTTGGCTTTTGTTGTTGTTTGAATTTGTAGCAGTTTTAAAAGTATTATGAGTATTATGTTTATAGATTATTTCTTGTGCTATATCAGGAGTTGGAGGCATGCATCGGCTGCATGCAGGCCACGGCTGACGTGAAGCTGACGCGGCGCTGCCTGGCGCCGCCGCCGCAGTTCGAGGCCGCCAACGGGCCGCAGCAGTGCCAGCCGTGCAACTGCAGGTCAGTCCCTATCTTTATTAAGGCCTTTGGCATATCGATTGAAGGGAAGCTTATTACTAATTTATTTTCATGTTTTTAAATACAATTAGTAAGCGGTTCTGAAAACTTGCTTAGAGAGTTCGAATCCCACCGCGCCGCTCGACTATTGTGGTGAGCTCACTCGTAACACAAGCTCATTTAGCTTAACACGAGGGGCTAACGGGACTATTAGTAATTTGGGCAATACAAATTACTAATTTTTTTTTATTAAAAAAAAAATTTAAAAAAAATCGAGTTTCGGTTCTATGTCCAATAAAAGGTTTATATTATTTCTTAATTATTTATTCTTTACTTATTTATAGCATTGTTACTTCCGCCAGCATGGGGAGTGTAGGCAGTAGATACATGATGACGATTGTTAGAAAATTAAATGTTGATACCTATCTGCTGCATGAATAATCAAAAGTGGCACCAAGTGGTACGTGTAATATTACACTCGGCGCTGGCTAGCCAGTTCCTTTTCTTGAACTTGGCTTGACACGCTGCCGCGTGTCTAGATTATACAATTAATGAAAACTGCAATGAAAATTACAATTTTGGTATTGCGAAAAAAGGAGAACGGGCACTTTTGGACCTCCACAAAATATACCTATTTCGTCACAGAGTGCTGTGGTGCTGCTCGTGCATGGCGCGCTGGTGGGCGGCGCGCGCCAAGGGCCCGCCCAGCGAGTGGCTCGCCGGGCGCGCCACGTGCCCCGTGTGCCGCGCGCGCTTCTGCCTGCTCGACGTGTGTCCCGCCACCAACGCGCCCGCGGCGACCGCGCCCACCGCGCCCGATACATAGCGCCGCACGTACCGCGTCTGGCTGCGGTGTGAGTTCTGTTAACATTTCACTTGACAATTTTAAGGTGGTGCTGTGTGGACCTACATCCTCTGGCCGTAAAAAAAAATAACGTTTTCTTAGCCTTCTTCAAGCACCTCGATTTGATTGCGGCCTACATAAAACATTGTTAAACACTCGNTGAGGTGGTGCTTTGTGGACCTACATCCTCTGGCCGTAAACAAAAGTAACAACTTAAAAAAAAAACATAGCGCCGCACCTACCGCGTCTGGCTGCGGTGTGAGTTCTGTTAACATTTCACTTGACAATTTAAAGGAGGTGGTGCTTTGTGGACCTACATCCTCTGGCCGTAAACAAGGAGTAACTTAAAAAAATACATTTTCTTCAAGCACCTCGATTTGATTGCGGCCTACATAAAAACATTGTTATAACACTCGACATTGGCAAAACCAGTGTGCTTCAATCAAATGCGCGCCATTAAACAGAAAAATAAATATATAAAACCATTGTTATAGTTCCAAAATACTGAACTGTCCTATCCATGACATTGACAGCGGGGCGCCACTGTCAATACCGGATCGCTGGTTCCGATTTTTGCCATGTTGGAAACCATATAGTTGAACGATGGTAGCACCCCCCTGTCATTGAGTTTGGTGGGACAGTTCAGCGTGAGTCATATTTACTATAAATTATCAACTTACTCCATTTATACTATGGTTGGAGCTATTGTTTATGGATTGAAAACGATTGACGTTAAGTTACGGAATCGGTATTTTATCAAACGGAGACTTAGAAACGTCGCCAAAATTATATTGGTCGGCGATAAATGTAATATTTGTGTCTTTAATGTTACGTGTTGTAGCTAATAGTTTAAGAATTAAGTCTGGTGAAACCATTATTATATTTTTAAAAATCATGATTGTTAAACTCAGTGAAAACTGAATTATATTGGTTATTGCCCAAATTTTTTTACGCTGTTATGTTTTTTTCTAATTTTTTTTCAAATGAACTTCAAAAGCCAAAGCTTATTTTTACACATTAACTAATTTGATCATTTTGGACTTTTTACCAAATTGATCATGATTATGCAATTCTCATTAGTCATTAAACGCTACTCATAATTTATTTTTAACTAAACTTAGTGAGACTTTTTAGTTTATAATTATTTTAGTAATAGCTGGTACGAGAATGCTAATAATTATAGTGCCACAAAATTTATGTGATAAATATATTTTTATCGATTCTACCTTTGAATAGCTTCTAAATATTATACATATTTTAATAAAGCTCTAGACTTATGCCAACTGGCTGCATGCATATTCCATGAAATAGAATAAAATGATTGATCAAGTTTAATACTTAATAATATTCACATTTATTGTATCTACTCAACAGTATGTTTAAATAGTATAATAATAATACATAATCATATCTTTAACGTTCCATCTTTTTATAATACGTATGTACTTGTTTTTTTTACTATATTATTTTTATACTGTACTGATTGTATTTGTAGTTAATACTTACCAAGAAAAATATATAATTATTGTAAAATTTAAAATATTTTTTGTATTGGTGTCTAATAAAAAACGTAGATCGCAATTGTAGCATATACTCAAATAATTCCGGTTCTTGGTGTCTTCAGCTATAGATAGCCTATAGACAAAATAGTTTTGAAAACATATTATTTATAAGTAGATGAATAAAAAATGATGAATTTATGTCATTAAATGAATGTGTCTTATGTATTTTGTGCGTTTTGTAATGATCATGATCATCATCAGCCTACCCAGTCCACTGTCGTTCTTTGGCAGAATTGACAGACTGCGACTTAAGCTTCCTATTCCCTAAATCCTTACTAAGTTTATCTTTTACTTTAGCGATGATAATTTTGATTACTCCTTAGTGTACATTTATCATGCCACGTGTACGTTCACTTTGATTTATTCTGATAGCGAAGGTCAGCGGTGCATTATTGTATCGTTATGTTTGATTGACTTAATTTGAAGTAGTCAGGGGTAAGGTCACGAGTGGGCGTCCGCAGAGCGTATACTTGACGCTGATCGATTATAAATTCCATGCGATCACGGAGATAACGATCGGAATTGTTCACTTAACAACCACCTTCATGTCCAGGGCAGCAGCTAATGTTTGGGGTTAGTCTAGCACTCGCCATTCAGCTGATTATTCGTACAGATATCGCGCCACTTCGAAAGTGAACCAATATGAAACAATCATCTCTCAGCAATGCAATCGCAAAGTTTTTTAAGACGACGACTTTGCATGGGTTTAAGTATTTAGTATCCCAATATTATTATGATCGGTAAGCAACTATGTTATTTCGGCGTATCGAATTTGTATTTTCTGATCTTTAATTGTATGAGATTACTTTTCAGCTTTTTGCAATCATTTTTGAAAATATTTTGAAACGCTTTTCCCCCTCGTTAATTTACCTACTGTTTTTTAAATTCACAATTTATTAGTGTAGGGGGTCTTTTCGACCGTGTCCCCAGGGGTACAGCATACACATTGTTGAGAACCACAACGCTAAAGAGAAGTATGTGATTCTCGAGTATTTTGGCAAGTTTTGGGTGGGGTGTTGCTGGCCAAAACCCACCTGGAAAACAGAGGAGGTTACTCTGGTGTGTTTTTTCAAGTATCAGGTGGGAGCTATGACAGCTGACCATCTGGATAGATCTAGTGGGAAAAAAAGTAATACGCTGAGGACTACTGTGTAGTGCCCAACTGTAGAGCGTTTCCATAAGTATTGGGTGATCGCTATTCTGGCCACTGATCAACCTGAGACTTAATACTCCGTGGAGTAGGTGGTATCTAACTGTAGTGTTTCCACAAGTATCGGGTGGGCGCTCTGCTATCTCACCAATCACCAAGACATATCCACCGAGGATTAGGTTAGTTATTTTATTTTTAACGATATAAATTTTATTGCATGTTCAATGAAATCAATTTAGAATTCATAGAGGTATTCCACAACACTGTGCACTAGCCGCATGCACTGTGCGTCCCTCCTCCCCGCCCGCCGCGCCCGCGCCGGTCCTCGTTTGCCAACTTTACTCCCAGGGGTATCGTGGGTCTGAAGTGTAGTTCTTTAAGGCCTATTCAGACCTAAGCGGTATTCGCTACCGTCTGCGGCAAAGAAAACCCAGTGGGTATGCGTTAATAATACTGTTCAAACCTAAGCGGTATTCGTAACCGTCTGCGGCAGAGAAAACCCAGTGGGTATGCTGTAATATTACTGTTCATACCTAAGCTCAGGTCGCTCTAGCCGCGGTACTTGATACTAAATACCTGAGCGAAACCCGCGCGGTATGTACCTCTACCCACAGCGGCAGCGAATATCGCTCAGGTTTGAATAGGCCTTTAACAAGACCCACGATACCACCAGGGGTATCGTGGGTCTGCAGTGTAACTAGAGTGTTTCCCCAAGTATCGGATGGGCGCTGTGCTGCCTGGCCAGCGCGTGCTGCGCGGGCGTGCTGTGCGTGGTGCTGTGGCAGCGCTTCCTCAAGGTGCCGGCGCTGCTGCAGTTGCGAGACCTCGGCAGCGCCGACGACTTCCAGCAGATACCCAATGTGGTCGTCTGCCAGCCGCCAGATGTTGTCGTGGAGAACTTCTTGAGTCGCATGTGAGTAACGCCATTCTTACTACCAGAACATAGGTACGTACTGTTTGTTCGTTTCAGCCAAATGATGTCCACGGAGTCGCAAAGTCCTTCCCCAAGGATTTCCACAACGACCGGTCCCACGCTGCTCGCATCCAGGTACCTTCCCTTGACCTTCACCAGATCATACAGCAGGTAGGTTTTTGAATTGACGGCGGTGGCTTTGTTTGTTTGAACTACGACTGACGGGTTGCGGTGCGAATTCCGTAAGGGGCTGACTTACTTACACAAACATAGCCCACTTAAGACCACGCGAGTGCTACCAACTGATGCCACTGGGGGCAAAGAGTTTTACAAACACACACTAAGAGTTTTGGCTTTTTCACCAGTAAGTATCGACCCTTATATTGGACGACCATATGGCGGCTACATAAAATTAAAACTTAGGTTGCGGTATTTTACTGTCCATGCATGTACCTTTAGTCTTACTACTCCATAGGATCTTGGGTAACCTTAATCCCCCTTTCAATAGAACTACAAACGGGGTGAACACAAGCAGGCTCCCGACAACGCTCACGAATGCTCTCCAAGGCAAGCCAACTGACGAGTCTCAGGTGGATCTCCTGGAAGGTCTGCTCACGAACAACGATATGACCCTGCAGCAAGTTCTCTATGAGTATTCACCGGACTGCGTCGACCTGATCAAGAGGTGTCGGTGGAGACACACGCCGGTGGACTGCGAGAGACTGTTCAAGAAGGAACTGACGAGATGGGGCGTGTGTTGCGTTGCTACTCCTTCAAGGTAATTACTTCATCATAAATGTATAGAATAATCCCATCAAAAACAATACTTGTCAAAAAAACCAAGTCTCGCAACTCAGTTGTTCTACGGTAAAAAGTTGTGAGATCCATGTAATACCAAGTCCAGGCCAGGAAATCTTTAAGTTTTACATAAATTATTGACGGCCGTGCCGCTTTTTTGCTCGACTTAGACCAGATATGGTCAATATTTACGTTAACGACAGCTTGTTATTCTTTCTGTAATATCTACAGAAAATGGATTTATTGATAACTTCCATTCATTGATTTACCGCCATTAATCATTCTGTATCGTTGTGGGTATAGGTGCTTTATTTATAGTAAGTAAATCATTAATGCGTTTCATTCATGCGGCTCATTCTTATCACTTCTTTTATCTGCCCTTGATCCTGTTCTACAATAAGTACCTATCTATTTAAAAAGCTGTAGGTACTACGTATTGTAAAACTTACCTGGCAATACATCATTAAGGAAATGCTTCTTTCAGATTTGCAAACATTTCAATCCCCGCGCTGTTAGAATTGGACGTGATTCGACAGCTGGACATGGCATTGCAATGCGCTAACGGTTCAGTTGCCCGCGGCTGTGAGGTATGCACTTTAGCATCACTTAAGGTTTGACCAAACCAACGCGCGCACGATGGAAATGGCGTCGCAGTGATCGCCATCTCCATCGCGCACGCAGGATGCACGCATTGGTTCGGAAAAACCTTTAACCCTTTTTTTTCCCTAAAATCTTCTGTTTCATCAGAAACCTATGTGCATAGTACACTTTTGACAGCTTGTGCATCTCCCAAGAACTATGTTTGTACGTAGTTCTTCACCAAATACCCGGGCGAGGAGTGGGTGTCGCCGACGCGGCTGACGCCGGGCCGCAACTACTGGGCCTACCTGACCTTCACGTCGGAGCAGGACAGCGATGCCGACAAGCTGGTCGACGGCACCTGCGTCAGTGCCAGCGGCTACTCCAGGAGCCACTGCTTGGTAGGACTCAACTGTCTTGGAGAACTTATAATATTCGTGTTATCTACTTTTAGCAATATATCTTTATTCATATATTTTGACGTTCATAAATGCCACTTGTGGTCTAAATTGAATAAAATATTTTTGATTGTGATTTTGATTATCCGTGTGGTTCCGGGAGAATCGAATAGGCCTTATGACTTATGGCATTAAGCTCGCCTTTTTGTACGGAACATTGTGGTGTGTGCAATAAAGTCTTTAAATTAAATTAAAAAATAGGCCCTAGGAATAAGGATGTCGTGAGAAGCGAATAAGGGAGAAATATGCGAACACCAGTCCTCATCAAAGCGTATAACCAACGTGAGGAATGTAGAACAAACAAATAGGGGAGTATTTGGTAAATTAAAGAGGGTCGTTCTCCTGCAGTGAAAAAGAACCGGATGATGATGATGATCACATCTACATTTAGAGCAGATATTTTGAAGTAAATTTTAGAAATTGGCCATCATACGTACGCTGACCTTTCGTCGCTTAACGCGTCGATATTTTATTTGTTCAGCTGTAAAAGCCACGTCATTTTACCTATATGTATAGTTACGTCAGCTACATCATCGTGTCCGTGACATGTGTACATCATCTCTATTTTTCATTTCAAGATAATCTTTATTGCACGAGATTTTCTCCTTCTTCCCCTACTTCTGACTCTTCCTGCACTCCTAGTGAAATACTTTTGCCGTATGCTTAGAGCTCAATACAGCTTTATTTTAACTTATTTACAGCTCAAATGTACAGCACATAAGTGTGGATGTTCGGACCCACTTCGAAGTATTGGCAGCGAAGAGAACTCACTTCCAACATGCGACTTAAAGCGCATTTCATGCTTGAGGACTCTTGGACTTAGAGGTACTTATTTATTCGATTTCTTTGTTATAGCATTATTGAAAATATCAATTCAACGAGCACGATCGTAAGAGAGACTGACCTATTTGAAAATCAGATCGATTGGTGTATGATCCAACTAGGAATCGAACCCTGAACCTCCGACTCGAGGTTTAGACTAGGGAGATGCGGTATTAACAAAACCAGGATACGGTGTTTCGGTATTTTTTCGATATTTATAATTATTCGAGCGCTTGACTTTGTGTGAATAATGTTTGTCTTTGATAGTGAATGATTATCAATGCACAAATGATAATTTTAGGTAATTCAACCTGCTCCTGTCTGCCATCATGTAAGAAGGTAATAACTCGATTGGACTTGGAGTCTTCTCCACTAAGAGAATTGGAATCTTGTGTAGATCCATTATAGTAAGTACGTTATATTTATTTAGTATACTATTTAGATAAGACAATATTATTTCTGTTACACAAGCTCCCAGTAAGTAATCTAGTATTCATCATCAGTCCTTGTGTGTAGTAATTTATATGGGTTGCCCTTGTTGCTCGCTCATGGTCATGACCAGTTGTTGTTGCTCTATTTATTGTCAAGTATGAAGTTTTTTACGTTGTACTTTTGGTTTCCAACTGCAAGCAAATTGATATGGAAATAAGACATCGATTTACAGTGATTTGCAATTAAGTACTTATCACTCCATCTCTATTGCCTATCTTGCGGTCATACGGTCTCTGATCAACTTGTTCTGAAATTGAATTATATCGACTATTATTCTTAACGACTATCTTTTTTCACACGAGAATCAATTGAATAGTTTGCAATGCGAAGTATTTTTAGTTAATGCTATTTTATGTTCGAATATAGGGCTTCTAGTGAGCTGTTGTTCTATGTATTTTATTTATTTATTTCAGCACCGGTTTGAATGCTACAGAAGTGGTAGTTTTCCGATTAAGAGTGAATATTGTTGTCTCTAAAGTATTTTCTCTTATGCCCACGGAAACTTGGCTCACTTTGTTGTGTAAGTATTGTTGTAAAATAAAACTAAAATGCGGGCTGTGTCTTTAGGAAATATTTTTATTTTGCAGCTTCTTTGGGTGGCGTTTTCAATATGTTCTTGGGAGTTGGACTTTTTAGTGCACTTGAATTTTTGTTCCTTTTGTTTGTAAAATTACCCATTGCGGTAAGGCGGTCAACTGAAATGGATGCACCAACTTCAGTTTTTAATCGAGGCGACTAAATATTGATAACTAATTATTTTTTATAAAGTATTTTGGAACTGTATTTTTTTACAATTACTTTGTTCATAGAAATGGAAAATTTCTTGATTTACTCTAAATACCTAAAGAGTTAGTAAAGCCAACTTATTGATCAGCGACTACAACAAATAATGCATTAAACATTAATTCATCAACATTGCAAATATCGCGCTAGTCATGATGGTTCATTGACAATCGACTAAACTATTCAAAAGCGGTCTGAACTTTAATGTCAGTGCCACTTTAAAAAAATAAAATGTCATGGCTGTCACCACTCAGCTGTCACTGCTGTCATTCTGCTACTGTTCGCCACACGTGTGATTATTTCATTTCGTGTTTATTTTATTTTTAAATCTTTGTACCGATTATTTCACTCATTGCGAATAGTTTTAAATGTAATTTGAGGAAAAAACAAATAATTCAAAATGTCGTCGTGGAAGAAAGCTGCGAAAGCTAATCAGAAAACTCACAGAGAACGTCATCAACCTGCGACGAGAAAACATTTAGGTTTATTAGAAAAGAAGAAGGATTACAAGAAGCGTGCTGATGATTACCATGAGAAGGGAGAGACCCTGAAGCTACTCCGCAAGCGCACGCTTGACAAAAACCCAGATGAGTTCTATTTTCACATGATAAACTCTAGGGTTAAGGATGGTGTAAGTATTCCAACATTTTGCCTACTGTATAACTAAAAGTGACGAAACAAGCTATATTCAAGAAATATCTTTACATTCTAGGTCCATCATGAGGTAGAAAAAGAAGATGAGTTCACACCAGAACAGATAAAGTTGATGCAGACACAAGATATTAAGTATATCAATATGAAACGGACTATTGAAAGCAGACGGATTAACAGACTTCAGGTATTTATACTGTACTGTAATGTCTAAATTCTACATTACATTTGAATATTAGATTCATTTCATATGTATGTTCAATTTTATGAACAATGCTTAAAAAGTGTCTTCTAAAGTTCTAAAATGAACATGATAGAAGAAGGGAGCATTTCATTGTTGATGAGTAATAATAATTTAAAAATAAATATTTTCTCCAATTCGTGCCTGCTTCTTTTTATTATTTATTCATTTTATTTTCCAGTCCCAGCTCCACATGACTGAGATAGCAGATTCCACTCCCAACACACATGTGTTCTTTGTGGATGAAGGAGAAGAGAAGACGTTTGATCTGGCCAAGAGGCTCGACACTCATCCTTCATTGCTCAACAGGAAGTCCAACCGTCCCAGGCTGTCGGATTTGGGCAAGCTGGATTTGCCGAGTATTGATAAACAGGTAGGATGTTCTTAGGATCTCTCTGTTTGATAAAAATTATTATTTGTATTGAAGACTATTTTTTCTCAATATCACCATCATCTTTACTATACTTATATTAGTGACTTGGTGATGCTTCTATGTACTTCACCTGGTATGTTAGAAAACTTATGTTTGTTTCTTTTACAGACTGCTGAAAGCATGAAGAAGAAAAGAGAACAAGCATACAAAGAGGTATCCAAAAGGATAGAAAGAGAAAAAGAATTGACTGTTATCCAGCAAAAAATGGAATTGAAGCGTCACCTTCAAGATGCTAAAGTCCTCAAACCCAAGAAAATTAAAAGAGGCACTAAGCATTCTGCACCTGTATATGAGTTCCCATATATTAGAAAGAAATAAAACACTGTTATTTACGTAATTTACTTTTATTAAATAAATAGTTTTTGTTATTTTTCCACCAAGTAGAGATGCACTAAAAATTAAGCCATTTTCTTTATTAACTCTACTACAGTATAAAAAACTTAATATTTACACCACACATCTAGTTGTCCTTAACTTATGAATTTTAAACTGTTTCAGTCTTTGTCAGTGAATTAATCTGATTGTTACCAATGCTTAGATCCTCAAATACACCTAGATCATAAATTGTCAAGTCCTGCTCAACTGCCTTAACAAAGTGCATCACTACATTATATAAAAATACACTTTTGTACATTAGAAGCTAAGGCGGTAACTTTACGGTAACCTAGGGGAGTGAATGTCTTTGGTCAACTTATAACTAAGATCACATTTGCTTGAGTCTCCCTAGAGTGTTTCACCATAATATGCACTTGTGTTCTGGGTTCATGGGAGAGCCTTTGGGACACTGCCAGGCCTCCGCGAACTCCTTGGAGTTGCTGAGTGTTCCAATCACTCGGATCTTGTTGGGACTGTGGACTCCTTCCACCATCTTGGATTTGAGCGCTCCAGTTGTGGAGTTGCCGCACCATATCTGTGGGATAAACGAAGTTGGTTAAATATAGGTTACCCACCTATTTATTGTTTGTTAGTTGTTTAGCGGTTCTTGTCTTGTTTACAAAACAGGCTTAACCTACTGCAGAATATAGAAGGAGAGGGGAAACTTTTATTATTCGTATACAGGTAGGTTGGTTACCATCTTTGCCGCTGTTATGGTATAGTGGAAATTATGGATCCAGTAGCAGTCCTGTCTGTAGCTGTAATATTGTGGTAATTTGAAGGGTACACGACCAATGATACTAAAGATTTTGTTTCAAGTAGGTACTACCAGCAGAACAACAGAAAGTAATCCTGATGAACTTTTCTGGCATACCAGTGGATTTTGTGCGTTAAGATCCAGTGGCATGCAGAAATGTTTTCGTCGTTAGGTGCAAGTTGATTTCGGTAAAGTTAGGTTTTCGAAAAGTTCACTTTCTTTACTCGTGCGGTAATGGTACAATCCGATCGAGGTAACTGCGCACCTCGCACACCTCCCCGCGTGCGCTCCGTCCGTACCAGAGCGTCGATGTGACGTCACCGCTGCCAGGAGCGCAGTTAACTCTTCTTCTTCTTCTCCTCTATGGCTATTGTGTTTTCACGTTTGCCAATGTCACGTGAGCATAGCTATTACACGGTATAAAAAGTTATAAACCTTGGGGTTGAGTGATGTTAGGTAGTCTAGCGTGCACACCTAAACGTAGTTAACTCGACCGGATTGTACCTGGTGTGGGGTTACTAGGGTACCTGTGCAAAGCCCAAGAAGAACAGCTGGTCGGGCTTGTAGTGCGGCAGGCCGGGCAGCGCGTCGCGCGCGCCGGCGTGTCGCGCCGCGTGTAGGCGGTAGGCGCTTAGCGCCGCGCGCAGTCCGCCGTTGTCCGCGATGTTCTCGCCCTGCGTGTTGAAGCCGTGCACCTGCGCAGATATAGGTCATGATGTCATCATCCATTAGGTCATGTAGCCTCTACTGCAGAAACACGACTCCAATTTACGAGGCAAAATATGGAGTTTGGCAAAACACTACACAAAATTACCTACCTAATTCATGGTCATGTAGTGGTCTAGTGGTAATATTTCTGGGTTATGATTTCTTTGAAGGGTTTTCTTCTTCTCTCGTAAAAGTGCTTTTTAAAAGCCTATTTACAAAAATAAATTAGTTTTATAAACTTTCTCGCTTCAAAGTTTACAATGCGAGCTGATATCAATCAATCAATCAATCAAAAAATATTTATTCAATTTAGACCACAAGTGGCACTTATGAACTCTTTGACAAAAAATATAACTGAACTGGAATCGTAGGCGACTGATGAACTGAACTAACTTCTATTTAAAACAGTATGTGCTTACTGTGTAGTTAGGCAGCTGCGGCATGTGGTAGTGACTGTACTGGTCGATGATGCACTGCACCTTCCCGTGGTAGTGCTCCAGCGTGGCGGCTGACCACCACTGCTTCAGGTTGCCCTCCTCATCGTATCGACGACCTATTACAAAAAAAAAATAACATAAAGAAATGTTTAGGTCAAAGTGTTGTTCCTTGCAGAAGACCCTGTTGTGTTAGATGGAATTTATATTTATTTGTAGGTTGGATAATATTGTCATTCATTCGAAAATTGTGTCATAAGGGATTTTCAGAGTTACAGCCAGCGTATGACTGACCTGCAAGCTAGTACGTTTACAAACGTGTCATGTCATTATCAAAGGCTGTAACTTGAACTTCATTCCTATTGTAACTTCTATGAATGTTCAAAAATCACCGTCTTAAATAACTTCTAGATAACTTACCCTGATCGTCAAACCCGTGTGTGACTTCATGTCCCATTATGGCACCTATTGATCCGTAGTTAATGGCTCTGAAAATAGTAAATCGGTCAGTGTTTTTTTATATTTTTGGGTGTAATTAAACTGCCATACCTAATCGGTTCTGGGTATTGTTTACTTACTCTATCCCGTTTCCGTAGAATGGCGGTTGCAGAATACCAGCAGGGAATGCTAAGAAAAGATAGATAAAATGAATGCTCAATTTTTTGTAGTGATGATTTGAAAAATCTTAATGTGATAAGCCAATTTTACTTACTGACTGAATTGAGCGTTGCTGAGTAGAACGCATTCACTGTTGTAGCAGTCGCAACCCATCTGTGAAACAAAGACATTTTTAATTTTCAGTTATTTTCAAATACCAGCCACTGTCATACCACCACATAATTTTATGCCTTAAATTGCTGCATTACCTGTTTCGATCTGGCTTTTCTCTTAACGATTCCAAAGATTTTTTCACTGCTGCCCATGTCAATTTCAGATACGTTTCAAATAAGTTTCCTTCCACAACTTCAGCCTGAAAAATTACATTATCGTTAGTAGGTAATGTTTTCCCCAGCTGAATTTGTTTACTTCTGCTATGTAATGTCTTTTGATGTAATACTAAGTATTTTTGTGATGTCATTTACTTTACCGAACTCTAAGCTCTGCCTAGCCTAGTTTGGGGTTAGGGATGTAATTTTATTTGTTTGGTTACATGGAACAATTCAACAGCTATAGCATCTTCCACAAACTGTTCTTCTCTTCTTACGGGTATACGGTCTTACATGCTTATAATGTTTGTCGAGCTGTTCATTTGTGAGCAGCCAGGCGGGGAAGCCGACGAAGTTGCGGATGGCACGCAGCTTGCTCAGCGTTTTGAGCCGCGTACTTGTGTCCATCCAGTCCAGCTGCTGTACTGCTGCTGCGAACGCTTCCCGCACATCCTCGACCATTTCAATGGCCTGTAATGAAAGAGTTTCCTATAGTTGGCATGGTGAATCAGGCGACAAAGCAGGTTTTACTTTTTCTTTTCTTTTTTATGCAGCAAACTCGATAGGATTTCATCATCATCATCAGCCAGCCATAGGACGTCCACTGCTGAACATAGGCCTCCCCTAATGCTTTCCACGTTGATCGATTGGTAGGATCGATAGGATTTATAATTGAGTATTTCTGATCGTCCACCAATCCACTCGCGAACCGTGGGCCACCCTGCAGTTGAAGTAACGTCTAAGTATGCCCTGCATTGGGATATAGGTTTAGAATAACCCATCATAATTAAACAAATGAAATTGTTTTACTTAATACCTACTAGCTGACCCGGCGAACTTTGTTCCGCCTTAATGGCAATAAATAAGCAGACTTTTTTTTTAAATTTCGAACGGGATAAATAGTATCCTATGTCCTTCTCCTGGCTCTAAACTACCTCCCTGACAATTTTCAGCTAAATCGGTTCAGCCGTTCTTGAGTTATAAGTGGAGTAACTAACACGACTTTCTTTTATATATATAGATTTGATAGAAACTGACGTAGGATTGTGAACGGAGAAAACTGTGTTAGTTAAATGAAAACAGACCTTCTGCCTCGACTGCGTGTCAAAGTGTCTCTTAACATAAAGGTAGCTGAGTGCCACCCCGAAGTTGGCATTAACGTTGGCGGTGCAGCTCTTCCATCTCGGAGTCCGCTGCTGCAACCCGAAAACCGCGCGCGAGAACTCGAAGCCACGCTCGCGGAACGCGCCCAGCGTCATCGGTGCTACGGTTGAGAACACGCTCCACCATAGGAAACGTTCTGAAAAGGAACAATTGACTTAGGTGGTTCTTAACATGAGGATCTTCTAGAGAGCTGGCAAATGGGTTTGAAACTTGGGTCTTTGATGTGATTTGACTTTTAGAGGCATGTGTTGAAAATCTAGAGCGATTTTATTTGCCATGTAGCCAGCCACACTCAGCCACGTACTCTCATTAGCAGTGTGCTGGCAATGCTGGCATATCACATATGAAAATATAATTTGAGATTATTATCTCATGATAGAGTTGTTACACTCGCTCCTAAAGTTCGATGTATCAGCAGAATAGAACTTACCAACACTGGTTCAATCGTGTAGGTATTTGAGTGCCTATAATTTTACTAAGATACTATTCTTTACCCACTGTTCCAAGATTAATTACCTACTTCTACTACGTTGAAGGTAATCGTAGTTATCTAATAATATCAAAATTCTTACGTATCTCATGCAAGCAAAGTTATGAAATTGGAGAAAGTTATAAAATTATTTGCATTTGCGTGAAGCCTTTGTCTGGTCATCAGTTATGTTGAATAAAGATCTTCATTGTTTCGAATTGTCATCATCATCATGAATCTATAAAGTATCAATAAAATAGCAAGTCACAATGATTACAATCATTGCCAAACCATTTCAGTGTTTGACATGATCAGATAAGTAATTATATCTTATTCATCACTTCTCAACGTCAAAGTTGGTAATTTGATCAATAAGTGTTTGATCTTAATTATTATCAACGTTTCTTATGTGAAATCATCGGAGCTCTATTTTTGAGAGTCGTGATGACATCACCTTTTTTAAAGTATGGCAGTTAATCGTCAAATCTTAATAGAATCAACGGGAATCTAGATACCTACTTTTGCAATCAAATCCAGTAATTGACTTTGTTTGGTGACAACCAAGACTTTTGATACCTAGTAGATGCTAGTATGTAGGTACACCGATACAAAGCTAGGCTGTTGAAAGAGAGCTTTGGATTTGTCATAAAATCTAGTAACTAGGTATTGATGGAAGAGTACCTATGTGATGTCTATCAAAATGTAATAGACATCTAGCAATGATTGCTTCCTTGCTTACCAATGACGACAGGCTTGGTGTCAGACAGCAGGATGGAGAGCTTCTGCAGGTAGGGCAGGTCCATGACGATAACACGGTCGCCGGTCGCGTTGAGCGCCACGCTTGTGTTGGCGAACACTAGTTGCAGGTACCGCTCCCAGTCGTGCTGCAAGGGACGTTGTTCTTGTTATCAGAAATATAACTAATTATTACCAGCAGGTCTTTTAGTCGCCACTCCAGCAGAACAACCTTCTCCAATTTATCAAAGAAACAATATTATTACATATACATTTGGTAGATTTTACATGAAATCTCGAAAACTGTTTATGTAGGTAACCAGTAGATTATAAGTTACGTCTAAAGCCTGGTCCGTGAGCAGCTTGGGGTCATTGGACGGGATTCTACGTGCTCACGGACCAGGCTTTAGTTACGAATCAAATCTTGTGATAGGACTGCATTAAGCAAGGGATGGCTGGAGTGTATAATAACTGATTAAGAGATTGGCATTAAGTAAAATAAGGGTAGTAGTGTCTATTTACCTCTTTCCATTGCGCTGGACCTCCGTTGGAACCTTGTATGAGCTGCTGGACACTCACTTCGTGGAACAGGTGGGTACCACTGCGTCTGACTTCCACAGGTGTCATTATCTGCAACAGAAACGAGATTTGTGATTATTTAGGATTAGAAGAGTTGGAAAGTCTAACTTTAATTCCTCGATCGTAGAGATGTTTACTACACAGGGGAGTTTCTGGTTACCTTAGCAAGGCTTTTGCTGAAGTCGACGATGTCGGCGGCAAAGTCGTCGGCGTCGGTGTCATTGTCAGCGATGGCGATCATATCGCGGATGTATTTGCGGTACTGCGCCAGTTCCAGCGCGAACTGCTCTGGTTGAAGTAGGTAGCGCTCACTGAATCCAGGGGACACTTGCTCGATCTGTGGACGAGATCTTTGTAAAGACAAGCTAGCTAAATGTGGCATAATGTAAAATGTATAGTCGAATATTTGTTTAAAATTTTATTAGGAGTTTCTGGTTTCATAAACTGTCTAGCTAGTAGGTTGATAATTTGATATGGACTTGTTGCAATTGATTCATCGGTGGTCCCTTAGTTCCAAACAGGTACTTCAAGTGATACATTTTCGTCGACAACTCACCACAACTCTATTCCTGCTGGTGTTCCTGACATCCTCTGCAACCTGGACACTGAGCAGCACATTGAGCCCCATCAGGCGGCGGCCACGCCCAGCGCTCGTCACCCACGAGAAGTTGGCGCTGGCCTCCGTTGGTGGTAGCGGCGGTAGGTCCAGTTTGGCAAGCAGCCGCTGTATGGGCTTGATGCCGTCTTCTTCCAGTTTGTCTGAAGAAAAAGGTTCTGATGAATGCCTAATCAGACATTGTACTGCTGCATTTGAGCCTATGGGTCCACTGCTAGGCGTAAGCCTAGGCCACAAATCACTATCTCCCAAAATTCATTCAACTACTGCAGGCTATCAACAATTATTATTCATTGTGGTATATACATAGTAGGTACCTCCTTTATTTGAGAGTTATACAAAATAAAGTTTAAGAAATGTGGTAAAGGCCGCATTCTGAACTCACTAAGATTCCCCTCCCCTTACACATACGTACATCTACACTAAACGTGGTACGGTGAGCTACTTACCTATATTTATGCAAGTCCTGTACAAAGATTTGGCTTTCTTCACGCTGGCGGGCAGGCCGTCCTCATCCTCAGCCTCCAGAAGTTCCCTCAGGTCCATTACCAACTGCTCCCGTAGCTTGGCCAGCTGGTCCCACGAGGTGGCCCATTCAGGCACCGGGTTCTTCTTGATCCAACCCCCGCACGCGAACTCATAGAAATCCGTGCACGGGTCCACATCCTTGTTCAAGGCTTGCAGGATTCTTGAAGCTGTGATAAAAATTAATGTTGAATTAAGGATCATCTTGGATTATTAATGTAGAAAAAAAATCTACTGATATAATATTTAAGCACGGTAGCTATAGTTAGAGATGTGAAGTTATAATAGAGTAATCATGCATTGACTTGTCGATTTATAGGAAACAATTTATTAATTATCGAGGTGCTAATATCATAAATAACTCGTAAACTAATTGATATGAACACCATGTTGGATAAATATTAATGATTCTGTCAAGTTAAGCAATAACCATCAAGATGGAAGTTTATAAAAAGTAAATTAACATCTCGATTATGTATAATGCACTATTTACATGCTAATGTGGTTTGCTAAGCCACGGGTACTATGACAATGAGAATAAATGCGCACTAGACGATCTTAAGTCATTGATGGGTGAGTAAAGTTTATTAAAGTGGATCATTTTCCCGCAAAAACGTCGTAATACCACCTCTGATGCACCACGTGGATTTGCATTACGATCTAGATACGCAGTAGCGAGCGATCGATATAAGTAATGATATGGTTTTGATTTTCCTTGACCCATAAATTAAACCTACAGGTTCGTCACACATAAATTAGATCATTCAAAGGTTTTTCAACAACCACACATCAAGCTTATGTTAACGCTACATAAATTAATCCCGTAAGCTTTTAATTGCTTGACAAAATGTAAATAACGTGCCGCGATCGGTCATTTGCATTTTACATTGTTGCATTTACTAAGCTTAGTTAAGGCCGGGTAACAGAGAAAATGGCGAAAATGAGGTTTTCATTTTTCATTTTTGAGTTTGAAGTTGAAAACTTTTCTTATATTTCAGCGGACACCTACTGCATAATCTTTAACGTAATATTATTTATATTATTATGCAATTAAACTATTATAGCATCGTTGTTTTGCTTCCATAACTCATCGGTGTTTTGTTTGGCATGCATAATTTCTGCGTCGACGCCATAGATCTCAGATTCCAGAAACGATTTCTATGAGATGATGACTTCGGAATAATTACCAACCTTAATTAATTTACATACTGGTCTTGATGATATAAGTGAAAATTGCTTCTACATGCGCCATGTAAGACTGATACAATTATTTCATTGCCTCCACGTGCCATGACCGATTTGTTGACAGTTATTTCATCATCAATTGCGATGTTCTTGTGCGTTTGTTGTTTTTGACGAAGCAATTAGCTGCCGACATGTTTTCCTCTATTTTTCTGCTAACTATTGGAATAATCACCTCGTATCTCTGTTTATGTTTTCCACAATGGAATGTGTAGGTAATTAATTGTGACATGCGTCTATATTCTACGCTAATATTATTATAATAAATAGTACTTATTATGTTTGTAAGTTTAATAAAGTAGGCAATCTAGTTATAAAAATACCTTTTAATTGATCTTTTATGTGATAAATAATACTTGTAGCTTTCTCAAAACATAATATTTTTGTACACAGGTATAGAGCCTGCAAAGCGAAAAACCTACAAATACAGCTGGGTGCGATGCGACGGGTCAGCGGAAAAAGGTTAGTCAATGAATCTCCTAAAAGTTAATTATTTTTATGTTTTATTAGAATTACATAGAGAACTAATGTTCCGATTTAAAAATGTTTTATCCACGAATAATGTGCAAGGTTGCCTTGCTGTGAAAGCCGCATAGTGGAGCCGTGGCAAAGTAGGTATTGTCTTTAGTAATACTTGGCTGGTAATGGAAATTCACGACCTTGATTAATTAGTTTAAAAACCTAACATTGAGAGTTTGAGTCGATAGTTCATTGGAATGTTAGCGAGAGCGACAGCTTGGTGGGAAAATAGTTTTTCGTGCATTGAACGCGCCGGTTTATATACCTATTAGACCTAAGAGCATTAAACTTCGTAGGCAATTTTAAGGCGATGGCAGTATTATGAGACTAATCCTACCTCTCTATCCCACTACTATAACGCCTTACGAATGTAATAAAGGTTTAATAATTCCAAATGATAGCTTAGTGTTTTAGAATCTCCAACGAATTTAATAATAATAACATAAAAAGTGTCCTAAATATTGTAACTTAGAATCTGTTGGGAAAACATGCACTGCAATATGGTGTATAAAGCTACCGAGGTTTATCCCCTACACTTTCCTATCTGCAACTCCTCTATAGCCAGGATCTCCACCTTAGCTTCCAATGAAACCCAACCAGTATAGGTTGAGTTGTCCCGGGGGATCTAACTGTCTTGGAACCCGCAAACAAATTAGTGAATAGAGCTACTCTTATAATGTCATCTCACCTGTGCCGACGCACTCCTCGCTGACGCAAGGTCGAGGGCTCTTATACTCCGTGAGGACCAGCACTGTGGTGTAGACCGCCAGGGCGATCAGTGACAGTCCTAGTGCTCCGATCAGCACTGAGGAACATCGCACTGTGCGCTCTCTGGAACAAACATTTCTGTGTCATGATGGAGACATAGTTTTGTTGCATTTTTATTTCGCACTAGACAGTCTTAGCACTTTTGAGCTTTTAAATTAGGGTTACAGACACTAAAAATAAATAAATAAGTATGTATTTATGTATATTAAAATATTTCACTGTTTCAAAAATATGTACAGTAAGGTACGTGGGCGTACCGACTAAGTAATACCCTAAAATAAGACTGATAGTATCGAATCGAATACATTATCGTTTCCGGATTTATGACCTCTGACTATGACCTTATGATTTCATGACAAAATTATGTAGGTTTGAAAGTTTTTAGTTCCTGATTTCAGTTCATTACGGCTACAACATACATAGATTTAGATATCTTTATAGCTGAATAAAATTGATACAAATGTTTGTTTTTCCATTTCCATTTTCCACACAAATCTTCACGTTTATAATATTACTAAAATGTACCCACGAGGGTTGTGCATCATAAATTATCGAAAATATGAATAAATCGTAATAATCCGATATGTGTCTCATGCGAAGGTAGAGTTCGTCCTACAAGACCTGTACATATAACTTTAGGAATATAAGGTCAAAATCTAAATGTACCTAGTTGTCGCCATGCTAACGCTTTTGTAATTTTAATCGCAATCGAAAGCATTGAAAGCGGCCGCGATTGAGGTTGAACAATGAAAGCGGTTTTTTGCCATACTGCTCTAACTACCTAAATCTGTAATGTTTTTTGCCCGTAATGTGAAAACTGTGTCGGGGTATAATGATATCATATTTTATCAATTTGTTTCAATTTACTGAACACTGAGTAGTTGAATTATTTTGAAATCAATAAAATGTTTATATTAACCACCGATATGTGACCAAGTAAGTGACAGATCAAATGATACAAATCCCGATAAGTATGTTATTTATTCTTCAGTAGATATTTTAGCTAATACATAAATGATCACTTCCTTATGATGATTATACTATTCGTACATAAACTACGTAAAAAAACAATGTAAGTACTTAAATAAAGTTTATCAATTTGTAGGCAGGCTTAATGGGCGACATGTTTCCAAGTGCTACACTTTGATACGTTGCATAAATAAACGCATAGCAGCACTTACGGTGTTACGAACTATGATCAATGGTTAATGGTATGGTCATGAGCATAACGAATTACGATTTCACGTGTATGCGGATTGTCAGGTCAAACACCGTGGACACTAGTCGCGAAATTGAACTATGTTGGATTGGAGAGAACTTTGCTTTTACTTTCAATTACTTATTGATTCTTCTTTCTATCCTCGAACTTTGGAGTTGATATTCTCTATCTACTACATACTACTTATTTTAAGTATGAATGTCACTGTACATGTTTTCACAATTTTGAGCCCCGTACCTAATACCTACATATTGTAGTGTAGAGGAAACGATAAATAAAGTAAACAACAAAACCTACTAGCTAACGAAACCATAAGCCTTTCACCGACCGCTAAGTACAGCGCAGGCGCATCTTGCAAGCTGCAACAATGCGTTAGTGATGCAATCCACTTTCGCGGATATTGAGCTATAGTCATGGGAGAGATGACGTTTCAAGAACTATGGAGACTATTCAAATACCTATGAACTTAGATTAATAAAACCTAGATAGATAGTCAGTGCACGAAAGGTGAGGCAGATTTTAGTGAGCCATGGCTTACTCGTAAACGTCACATGAACTGTCAAAGTGAAAAATTGGTAAACACGTCCGACGACTTTTAATTAATTAAGACGGTTTGTGCTGTGAAAGGGTGTCTAAACACATCAGAAAAACTAAAGAAAGTGACCAGTGTTACATTTCATAAGTAAGTACTACGATTCGACGCGTATTTTGCTTGAATTTGGCTTTCAAAAATTAAATACGGGAATGATACCAGTAACAAGAAAATTTTTTTCCCAATTGTTCGCCGTACAAATACACTTCCTTTTTTATGAAATCGAGACTTTTAAGTCGATTTATCTTATTGTAATTAGGTAGGTACTTTGAATTCAATAAATAAGTAAGTACATGATGCGTTTTGTTTTTGTTAGTTATAAAATAATTAAAAACGTATTAAAAATTTCCCTACTTTCGGGAAAATCGCATTCACTGTCTACACTCCCCAACAAAATTGACACTAATGACATAAGATTTTTGCCTCACTCTTGACGAAGCATTTGTATGAAGACTATCCATCTAGGTTTTATTAATCTAAGCCTATGAATATTTGTGTAAGTATGCCGATTTAGAAATATTGAAAACTAGGTCCAATAGTTCGTGCCACCCAATATAGCCAAAAATTTCGCAACACGTCTTGGAATAAGGTTGTCTTGTCAACTTTTTGGCCACTTTGGGTGTCACTATTTGACGCTGACTGTACGTACGAGTGTTATGCGCTAATACTTAATAATATGAATCTTTTGTATTCTCTATACTTAATTGACTAGATAACGTATTAAACAAAAATTCAAGTAGGTACTTCTAGTTTATTTAATCTAATTATGTAGGAAATATTTTGACTTTAGTCAGAGTTTGAATCTTATTTGGTTAAGGAAGGAATATCATCCGTCCAAACTTGCTCAGAGGTAGATATTGATCGAAGTTTGTGTAACACCAGTTAAAACCAATAGCAGAATATCTCGGGGCTAAAAGACAGTAAGCAGAAAATTATAGCATGCACGATAGGAAATTGTTAATTCTCTTAGATAAAACCGGCATTTACGTAACCTGCTAAGATCCGAGTTCTACTCTGTACAGATTTATGCAATACTCGTATATTAATGCCGGATATTAATGTAGAGTCCTAAAATTCTTATTTCCTATTGGGTTTAAAACACTGATTAATATTGTTTCTTCATTAAATGAAATTTCTTAAAATCCATATTCAGTAATTCTACTAAAAAAAACTATTAGGTACCTACTAGAACTCGCCTAATGATAAGTACACACCTAGTACCGCCTACCGCCAAGTATCTGCCTATAGTTGAGTGAAAAAGGTAACAGCACGATGGCGTAATCCATAATTAATTTTACTTTTACCTTATTTGCTTGACGCTACAACTATCCATGCTCTCAACCTCCGCGTTTGGTGAAGTTAGGGCTGCATAAATTCAAGCAAAAACGGTTCGCATACTACTGTGTATAAAGTATAAAGTGTATATTTAAGGGCAAAACTTGTAAATTAGATGATATAACAAAACAAGTGATATCGGAATCTATCTATACTCTATACTTACTCTATACTAATATCCCATCAAAAACAATACTTGTAAAAAAAAACCAAGTCTCGCAACTCAGTTGTTCTACGGTAAAAAGTTGTGAGATCCATGTAATACCAAGTCCAGGCCAGGAAATCTTTAACGTTTTACATAAAAAAAATTATAAAAAAAAATAAAACCGACTCCAAAAAACCTACACTAAAAAGTAGAAAAATAATTACTAATTTCCTACTTATTTATTAGGACGAATTAATATTTATGTAGGTATACCANCTCGGGATAAAGACACCAATCTCCCGAAAGCGTCTTAAAACTTTCGAAACCCAGTACTGGCTTATATGGAGCTGACGTGCGACAGCCCGCTGGCTGAGCCCTTCTTGCAATAGTGCAACGATTTGTGCTGCTTCTGTAGGTGTAGAATCCCAGGTAAAGTGTCAAAAAAAGCGGAGATGTGTATGGATCAACGTGTGAAACCAAAAATCCGAAAACACGTGTTTTTATAGGGGGTAAGTAGGCCGCAACTCGCGACGTATATAACAGTTGATACATGTCTTTTTCCTTACTTCTTCACATCAGCTGGGATATCTTTTTAAAACCCGTTGTGATTTAAATGAATTTGGTATCAATTTAAAAGTAAAAGTTTAATCTTTAAAATGGTGTCACTTTTTTTGTTTCTTACAAATTCTTTAGTACACAAGATCGCGTGGAAACAACTTCATGTAAGTGATTCCATAGTTTTGCTCGCGAGTGTATATATAGATTACGTTGGTTCACTAATAAGACTAAGTAAAAATTTAAAATATTTGTATTAGTGATCTCATCAACATCCTATTGTGATGTTAAGACAAGTATTAGTGAATTCTTTTGCAAATGTGCGATTGTGTACCTACTTGAATGATAAAATGTATCATTGTTTTTTTGTTCTTAGTTTTTTTTTTTTCAGTTTGAAAATAGGTGGTTATCACACTGCGCCGCGCTCCGCTGCGGAGCGCGGGACGACAGATTTAATCATTTTATGCAAGTACCTCAGTGTGTATAGAAAACACGCGCGGCACTTCACACTGACAACGCGTGATTTTTTATATGAAATCACGCGCTCCGCGGCGGAGCGCGGCGCAGTGTGATAACTGCCTTATTCATTTTTATTTTTAGTGTTTTTTTTTTAATTTACAGGTAAATAGTATTGTTTAGAAGTTCAGAAGCAAATAATTATCTTTTACATTATGTCAGGAGTTGGAGGCGTGCATCGGCTGCATGCAGGCCACAGCCGACGTGAAGCTAACGCGGCGCTGCCTGGCGCCGCCGCCGCAGTTCGAGGCCGCCAACGGGCCGCAACAGTGCCAGACGTGCAACTGCAGGTCAGTTCCTATCATCGGGTTTCGGTCGAGTTTCGGTTCTACTCGTATGTCCAGCTAGCGGCCGCCCGCGACTTCGTATGCGTGGATCCCGTTTACCCCCTACATCTATCTTACGCGGTTTAGATTTTTTCATACAAATGTTTTTTCCCGCTAACTTCCGTTCCCGTGGGAATTTTGCAATATCCTGTTGTAACTAAGCTTTAAGTTTACTAAGGTACCTGCATGCCAAATTTCAAGCGTCTAACTTAAGCGGTTTAGATTTTTCATACAAAAATATTTTCTCGATAATTCCCGTTACTGTGGGAATTTCGGGAATTCCTTTCTTAGTGCACCTCTACGGTACCTAAGTTACGTCCCTTCCAAATTTCAAGTGCCTACGATTAGCCGTTTAGGCTGTGCGTTGAT